TCACACGTCACCAGTGACGACGGCTCACAAAAATCATTTGTCAGTTAATCCCTCGCAAGTTTTTTTAAATGCGTGGCTGTCGTGATACGCAACAAAGTACCGCTGCCAACATCCTTAAGTCAATGTTAGTGCTAAAGCTAGTACAAAGAGCGCTCGTCCAAGTTACCAATCGTCGTATCCGTGTTAGTAAATCCCCTAACACAAAGAAGAAACAAGAGAAGCACAAAATTAGTACACTTGAGTCGGCAAAGAGCTCACTATATACGTGCCCCGTTAGTACCAGACAAGCCTTACCTCGTCCGCGGCGGTCGAGTTCCAGACACTTATGTGCCTGCTGCGCAGCGGTGGCGGTACTGGCCTGCGGTAGCGGCCGCGCTCTTATCAGCAACGACTGATATGTCACCCAAGCATCGCCAGAATTGCCGCGTATTGCCGAGCATATCATGCTGTCGGGTGCTCGGCGAGGAGGTGGCACCGTAGCGCATGCGCATAAGGGCGCAAACAGAACACTATGGCTGTGAGCTCTGGCGTGGTCAGAAACCGCCATGAGACGTCGTTCAGTTGCCGCGGTGACAAATCGCTTAAAATATCGACGGCTCACGCTGGTTACGCCTAGATGTAAGGTTGGAGACCATTCACTTTGAACAGGATTAGGGAAATGCTTGCGGCCCGGATGGGTAAGAGAAAACAAGACTGTGTGAGCTTGGCTGACATTCTGACCCACCAAAAAAAAGAAAGAAGAGAGGAAAAACGGAAAAAGGGGCGAGATTATCGTCACCTGCATTTGTCTGGTTTCTTTAGGACAATATAAATATGTGCATAATAGTTAAACGCTCGTGATTATGATGATTGGAAAAGGCAAGGGTCATAGAGAAGCGCGCGCGCGTGTGTGTCTTTTGAAAGCCTTGCGTGCACGGGCCATTCAAACAAGTTAGATATATATGTGGGGTTCAACGTACCAAAACCACCATATGATTATGAGAGACGCCATAGTGGAAGGCTCCGGAAATTTCAACCCACTGGGGTTCTTTAACGTGCACGGGCCATTCAAACAAGATAAGCCAACTGAACATGAAAATTGAACATATATGCAGCTAAGCAGGTGGCTTGCCACGTGTGATATACAAGCGCCTCCTGTATTTTGAGAATGATAGCCATATGCATCTGATCCAGCCGTTCATTGCCATCTCTTTTAGCCCTTTCCTGTTCTCCCCATTACCGAGCTTGCGAGCGCTTTGCGGCCACGGGGAAGAGAGTCCCTCATGCAGTGCCGCACGACGGGAATAATATAAAGTAATTGTTGTTCAGTTGTGTATATATTCGGGGGGGGGGGCGTCTTGCATTCTTTCTCATCACAATGTTGGTGGTCACGCTGGCTCTGTAAGCGATACGATGTTTCGAGCTAGCGCGTTGCCGTTCGCGGTGCTATGCTTGCAACGAATGGGAACACGTCATGGGGACACTGCTGCAAAACTATAGTCGGTGACAACCTGAGAATAAATTTAGACTCCCCCCTACGACGCCGCATTGCTTCTATTTTCCATGCATCTACGCTACAAAGGTAGTAGTTCCAAAAAAAGGGCAATAATTTTATAGCATACAAATGAACTGTGGTATACTTTACTTTTTATGCTCTGCTTCTCACCGACTGTAGCGCTGTGAGGTGGCGCCACAAAAAGGAATGCAAAAGAAGGAAGCTGACAGACGCATGGCGAGCGGCCGTGCGCATAATACTGGAGTGCGAAACACGTACTTACATCGCGTTTCCGGGGGAAACTGCTCGGAAGCACGTGTGGGTCACGCAGCCATGCCCCTCAAGTAGCATGACGATAGTTATAGCACGAGAACAAAACGACGACACCGAGACAAGAAGGACACGAACGTGTCCTTCTTGTCTCTGTGTCGTCGTTTTGTTCTCTGCTATAACTATCGTCATGCCATACCAACTAGCCCAAGCTGCCAAACTTCTAAGCCTCATGTAGTGTCACGCCCCAGCCACTCTCTGAACTAAGGCGCATCGGCGGCTCCCGTCGAAGAGCGCGCGTTTGGACTGGTATTGAATGAAGTAAAGGAGACTGTGATAATGCAAATCCACGTCTCAGAAGTGACCCATTGGACGGTTAGGAGTCGCACTGCTAAGCTTGAGGGCATGGATTTAATACTCGTCGTCTGCTGAGCTCAGCGCGCATGTTCGTACGATTCTTTCCTCACGCTGCATTTTCTACACAAGAACATTTGTGCTTCGTTTGTTAATAATAATAATGGTTGGGGTTTAACGTTTCAAAACCTTGATATGATTGAGAGATGACGTTATGGGGAACGGCTTCGGAAATTTCGACCACTTGGGGTGATTAACGTGCACCTTCACTATAGGACGCAGGAGTTCCTTGCTTTTCGGTCCTATCTAAATGCTGCCGGGAACAAAACTCGCGCCCTGCGGTTCGTTGGTTTCCAATTAAGCTTTGAATAACACAAGTGGCCTCAAGCGTTACGAAACTTGACTGCAATACTGATTTCGAGTTGCGAGCACGTTCTTCTGCAAAATTTTGATGAAATCCAGCTCTTAAAACGCGAAATAATTATTACATTCGCGTTTCAGGAGCGCGACCGAGCACAACCATAACAACCTTAACCGTAACCACCACAACCACTGTAACGCTGAAGCGGACTGCGCAATGTCCCTCGAAGAATCGGGTTGGAACTATAAGGCAAAAACCACAATCATAACAACCATAACAGTAATGACTACAACCACTGTACCGCTGAAGTGGACTGCGCAATGCCTGGTTATAGTAAAGATTGGTATATGCTCGTTTTATAGTTCCAACTTATGGTCATGTTATAGTTCCAACCGATTCTTTGAGAGACATTGCGGAGTCAGCTTCAGCGGTACATTGGTTGTAATGGTTAATGTTAAGGTTGTTATGGTCGGGTTTGGTTGCACGTTAGATCTGAGCCGAGGTGATAGCATTTCGTTGGAGGTGAATGTGCCAGAGGCTCGTCTACTGTTCAATGTCCGTGCAAGGTAAAGAACACCAGAGGGCCGCAATTTTCGGAGCCGTTCACTACAGCGCGTCCCATAATCATGTCAAGGTTTTGGCATGTGAAAGCCCAGATATCACGAAAGGGAATGTGAACGATTGTTAACGCACTCCAATGATGTTTTGTAGCCAATCTCAAGGGAGTGATTTAAAACCTCTCTCGAGAGGCGCGATTCAGGAGCAAGAAAATAGGCAGCCAGTCGGTTCGAGACCTTAAATGGCCTCTAAACCACCCAAAGGTCGACTTTCAGTTGATATGGGGAAGTTCTGCACGAGTGCACAACGACAATGGACTCGTGAGAATTTTTCTAAATGGTACCAAAATAGCCTCTCAACGCAACGCTTGGTGGCGCTGTAACTCTTGATAGCCAGCGCCATCTTTGCTAGAAAAATAAAAACAGGGGATGTACGTCACATGTTTTGCCTTCTCTACGCCGTGCCGCTGCTCGCTCCCGTGTACGTGAAAGGCATTTGCAGCGCCGCGATAAGCAAAGCTTGAAAAAAATCTTCCAGCGGGACAGACACTTCGAAAAGCAAACTTAACCAAAACAGAAGAGCTCAATAACGTCTACGTTGTGAAGCAGATGATAGCTGCGCCTGAATTTACACGAAATGCATTTCCGAAGTCCGCGACATTACCTTCTATGATAGGTCAAAGTAACCTTCGTTTTGTCATACCTTAAAGTGGCCCTGACACACTTTTTTAAGTAACGATGGAATGAGTTCACTGAAAGAGCTCATTAAATGAGAAGTGAGCGCCTGTGGGTCCTCTCCCAGTTGTTTGAGGTGAAGCCGGGAGGAGTGTTTTTAAACTCCCAGAGCATGCGTTTTCTCATGAATATAACGCCATGAAAATTTTAAGAATCCATCTGGTGCGAATGAATTAAGTTACAAAGATTTGACGCCTGCTGCAATTGCATTCTTTCTTTTCTCGTCCCGACAAAAGAGTCGGAAGCTAAGCAGGCAGAGATGGCGGAGGCAAAGAAAACACGTCACGCGCGCCTCGCGACCTTAAGTACTTTTTTTTGGAAAGCGCGGGTTTTTCGGTGTGATCGGGCGTGCACGCGTGGAAAATTCGGGGCCTGGCGTGGCGATCTCTGTAATGAACCAGCGCGCCACGTTCAAATCAGCCAGTGGCTAATAGATGGCTTCCTATGAGCGATTTTTGGACTGTTGTGCCAATCCCCCGGATCCATTGAACGCAACGCGAGCACATGAAGAAAAGCGGGGTTTTACAGTCATCTTCGAGCACATGACAGTGTTCATCTTCACTGTCACCGTGGCAACACGATCTGATCGGGAGTGATACAGAGGCTGTGCCAAGGGCCTGTTTTCCGGCTGACATCTAATACAGACCAGGTCACCACGTTCCGGCCTTCGTCGTAGTCACAAGGCAGTCATTGTGGAGCTCCCCTATAAAATATGCTGTAAAGTAAAACAGTAAATAGGTTTTGACTCATAAAACTTTTCATCAACTACTATATTGTAGCTTATTTAGTGAACCTACGTTTCGTAATTTAAGAGAGCTAAGGCCACTGTTCGTATATGCCATTTGAAGCCAATAGGCTAACACTGCAAGGCATTTCCTAATTAGCAAATACATGAATGAATCAGAAATATTTTTTCACGTGAAGTGCTTTATTTTCTTTTCTTTTTACAATAATGCTTACACGTGTATTTGAAGTGATAGCATGGGGAGGCTAGTATCCGGTACAGTGTTCAAATTAAATATTCAGCTCTTCGTGCGAGCAGGCAAAATACACGCTGCAGCCAGTTTCATGTCAGGTTACCGTCGAATTTTGGTGTCTGTCCTACTTTAACTTTCATTAAAAAAAATCTTAGTAGAGGCGGCGTTGCTCGAGACAACGTGCCATCACAATAGAGGAAGAAGAATCTGTCCGTGATCTAGCACGTGCTGCTCCACGCGTTCTTTTACGAACACTAGGCCTGATATTGAAGATGCATGTTGCTTTCGAAGAGCCTGGGGAACCTGCTCTGCAAGCGCCCCAAGGTGAGTCAGCGCCAGTTAATTATTTCCTTAACGATTCCTACATGACTTCTTATAGTGCGGACAGATATTGTGGCGCAAATACATCGAATAATGATTGCTTACATTACATGCGACAGGAAAACTGTCTTGGTTGATGCACCTGACGCGTAAGCTTCCAGCCGTTGCAAAACCATAGCGGGCTGCCGTTATAGTTTGTTTTGAGCTACAGCGCTAGTAGGTGGGAGTTGTGCGCTATAGCAGGTGGCACTATTGTGGTGGGCCAAACGCATCCACAAAGCGTCGTAACGGCTCTTCCTTTCAATGTACTGCGTCATGCCACACGATTTTGCTGTAGGGCGCAACAAAGGAACATATTTTTCGTGACAAAGGTATCTGCTTGCGATTCCTCGGTTCACAGTGCGTGGCCTTAGATGACACGGCCACAGAGGGTATGTCTTTCAGTATATCAACAGCGTATACACCATTAACTGAGTGCGGTAGGCAGATCTTGGAAGAGCTTTATCGTGTTCTTTCCATCACCATTAAGATGGCGCGAAACGCGTTCTTTAAAAGTCGTCACCCCGATCGTTGCATATCGCTTACTCTACCACCTGTTATTTGCCCTACAGGGTGTGGTCACCCATGCGCACGCGCTTACCTCGTGTTCGGGTGGTTTTCACCGTTTCTGTTTTCCCTAGAAAGTTTGCATTGACGTTACGTAGCAAACGATGGTTAATTCGCAGCAGTGGCCGCTTCTGCCAAAAGAGCGTTCAGCTGAAACTCAAAGCAGGAACTCTAACCGGACATATTTTTCGGTTGTCTTTTGTATACCTGTGCGTTTTTTTTGTGCTTGCGGAGAGCGGTTTAAGTACTAAACTGTGACAGTTTGCAGTTAGTGGTCAGCCCATGTGTGTTCTTTTCGCACACTCGTTCTGCTTGAGCACCGCACTGCTAGTTCCGAGTTGCTTGCCGTGATTAGCGTGACATTCCGATTTGTCACTATCGCATTTATTGCTTCACCTTCGCGGTGAAACAAACCTTTTTCAATGAAGCACTTCCGAAAATGTTTGAAAAATAAAACTGGCAGTCATGCCTGATATTTATAATATCGGGGCGTAAAATTAACGAAATGACGGCCAGTTTACTTTCAAGACAAAACCCTTGAAGGCTCGGTGATTCAGAAACGGATGGTAATTTTTGTGGGTCAGTCAGTGACCACATGGTAAAAAGTGAGTTCCTCCGCAAGAACTCAGACTAATAAAGTGGAATGCTAGGCCAGTTGGTACATATTTCTACATTAACTCAGACTAATACCCCTGTCAGTCGTGGCACCTTAGGTGACATTGTGTGAGTGTATTTAAGCTCACGAAGAGTCATTTTGGCGGTTCGCTGCTACACGAGAAAGCGAAGTGCACTTAGAAAATGATGGCAGTGGCTATTGAAGGATTGGCAGCACAACGTATATTTGTTATTTTAGCACCTGTGTCTCATCTTCAGACCACGTTGTCTTCGTGGAAGTAGCACCTGTGGTACATGCCATCTTAAATTACTAGAGAACACCTCACCTACACAAGTGCAAGTGCATCTGGAAGTAAACAACGCGAAGGACGCAGCCATTGCTGTGCATGTGCTTCCGCGTCCCTTAGCGGGTGTGGCTGGAAACAGCCCAACGGGGAAAGTAGCGAGCTTATTGTTGAATATTACGACTTGTTTTATACACAACAATATCCATCATAACAAGAACAATGGTTTAAATATATTATGAGCACCGCTTTAGGCAACAACGTCCTTCTGTACAAGCCACTTGTATACCGAGGCTTCACACTTCATCGCAGTCGCCGCAGTGAAGTAAGGTTCGAGAACGCACTTGCCGGCAAGTTTACTTTGCAGTGAGTGACGCTAAACTTGCTCGTGTGACAGCGAGCAAATCACACTCACGGCTAAATGTACTCACTCAAAGTGCACTTAAGTTGCTACGTGTCACAGGCGTACAAATAGCTACTGCCTGCCCGGCGCACACAAGGAATACAGGTCATGTGTCGTCGAAGAAACTACAAAAGCGGTACAAATCTAAAAAAGCGAGACAATTACATTAGTCGTGGAGGCCATCAGCTAACGTGCTTCGGTCAGTGAGACGGTGCCGCTCCAGTCTTTACAGTCTGTATCCTACTGACCAGGCGTTTCATAATTATGAGGCGACAGTACGAAGCTAACTACGCAAAAATTGGCAATAAAAGATGTTTCCCAGATTGTTACACAGATAAAGGTATGCGCTATGGCTTAAAAAATATTTGCGCTGCATTCAATGCCGGTGTTGTGTGGGGAACGAAACGTTCGGGCGAATTGCCACGTGCGACAATGGAGGCTTTATTTTTTGTCGAAAGCTTCAGTGAAATATCGTTTACTGTATTGAAATGCTACTGCTGTTGTCGCATAAAGGACATTGGATGTTCGTACAAAGGAGCAGCGCGGTCGCGAAGGATATCGGTAGGCACAGCTTCGAAGGAATTGAGGCAAAGATCTTTTTTTTCAGACAAGGCGGCTGGTATTTTTGCCACAGCCACATAATGCACGCTACACCTAGCTCAATTACGTAATGTCCTGTGGGTGTGCGATGAACATAACCAAAAGCGAATATTCCGACGCAACAAAACGCCTTTCCAATAAAGGTTGTTCGTTGTTCAGCACCATTACGATGACAGAAGTCTTATAAACCGCTTCAAAGGGCACTAACTTAGGACTCATTGTCACGTATACCTCACAGCAGCGGCCCGCTATTATTGCAGGTGCCAATGCAGCTGGCGATGTTAAAGCGGGTAGCCCCGAGTGTGCGACCTCCGAGGCGCTCCATCCCGGCGCATCTCCCTGGCGCCAGCTTCTGATGGTGCTGTGGAAGAATATCTACATAAAGCGCATGCAGCGCCACTACACCACCACGCTGCTCGAGATTGTGCTGATGGTGGTGCTGCTGCTGGGCATCCAGGACGACGCCGAGGTTGTTGAACCACTAGTGCGCAGAGGCGACACCTACTTTCGGCCCATCAGCACCTATACCTACTGGAACACGCAGCCCGACATGGCACAGATTACCCAGGTGGGAACGTATACGTTAGTCTCCAGTACACTTCTACGGTGTATCACGATTTCACAGAATATATTTGAGCACAGTGGCTGAGCAGTTGTAAGAATGACGAGGTGCTTGTGATGTGTGGTGCGCGTTTAAAGTGCGCGCCTTTGGAAAGTGCGCGTCACAAAAACAGAAGAGAACAGAGTGCACGCGCGGTGCTGCCTAGACAACGACGATGACGACGACAGTGAAGATGTCGCGTGCATGAGGACGCGTGGCATCCCGTGAACAAAATAAAAGATAAGGTAACCAATGATCATAGACCACGGAGATTTCAAGGCCCAATGGCTGGGTACCACGAAAGTACAGAATCTCCAATCAGAACGAGACAAGTGGGCCAGAGCTGAAGCAGGAGCCTGAGCAGACCAGAGCAAGGGGAATTCGAGGCAGGCAGTGCAAGCGGAAGGTCGTCACCGGACCGGGCGCTGAAGATGGGCCGTTGGGTTCCGGACCCGAGCCTACAGGACTTCCACCGGCCGGGGCCTCCTGCTGTCGGGTTCCCGCTCCAAAGGACCGTGGCCATCCGGTCCTGAACTCCTTTCCAGAGCCTGCGGACTTCGGTTCCGGCAGGCGAGCTACAGCCGTCGGGCTCCGGGCCCGAGCTGTGCGCCCAGCTGCTTGACTAGGTCGACCCTAGTTCCCTGACGCGTCGCCACCAGCCTGCGTTCTCCCGTCTCCGACGTGTCCACGCTCCTCAAGCCGAAACCATCACGATTTGGTAGGGCTTTCCGACGTGTCGCCAGCAGCCAGCGTTCCCTCGTCCTCGTCCAGCCCACGCATTGACGCAGGAGTCACGGCGTTCCGGTTTCTCATCACCGCCGAAAACCAACTTGTGGGTGAGACTGCACCGATACTCTTGCGCTACTCCCATCACTCAGCCCCTTTCGAACGTTAGGTTTAGTTACTGACTTTGAACGTTCTTGTTGGGTGTTTACAGATGTGTTTCGTCATGTCCAGTCAACTGTTTATTAAGTGTTTTGTTTTGTGAGGAATCTTTGCCTTTTTACTTTTCAATTAAACTTTTTGTGTGTTTCTTGGAAACCGAACGGCTTTGTCCTTATTAACAAAACTCTCTGAGGCTCAGCCCGGGAGAAAAACAAATCAGCAACAAGAACCCCACATCACAAACTGGCGTCCGCAGCGACAGGACAAAGTCGTTTGTTTTTCCAGTAGATTTTTTTGACGTGGTTAACACGATGACGAACACGTGGGAGTTAATTGAGTTGGCGGATAAAATGGGACTGACGGGAGCGGAGTTTAGAGTATGGTACGAGGAGCGGATGGAGAGGGAGCGTGAGCAACGGGCTGCGATATGTGACGCTAAAAAGCAGCAGATTGCATTGCAAACACACGCTAAGAGAGAGGAGTTCGAGCGAGAAACACGGGCTAGGAGAGAGAAGCTCGAGCGAGAGACACGCGCTAAGAAGGAGCAGCTTGAGCTAGAAATGCGTGAAAAGAAAAGGCTGCTCGAGATAGAGATGCGCGAAAAGAAGAGACTGTTGGAACTAGAATATGAGGATTTGCAGCAGTGGCTTGAGAGGGAAAACGCTGAATATACGTGGTCTGAGAGCCAGAGTAGTCAACCAGTGGATGAGGTGTGCTCTGAAAGCAGTTACATCGGGAGCGATTTGAATTTACGTGAGACTGACCCTGTACCTCGTCATGACCTTTCGCTAGAGAAAGAAACTCTGAAAGAGTATGACAGGGAGGTAAACAGTCAAAAGACTAGGAGACTCGATAAGCTTATTGAAGCGCAGGAATGCTTCGTGAGCATGGAACAAGAACGTTCCATTCAGAGTAAAGGGTATTTTGAAACCTGTGAGAGGTCAAGCGCACTTTATGCAGAGGTAGGATTGCCTGTGAATGGCTCCGCTGAAGGAGCAGTAAAAGGTCTCCTAGGTAATGCTGGCGAATGCCATAATGAAAGCTCTGATGTAGCTGCTACCTATTGTTTTGGGCCACTGGAGATAGCAACTGATGCTACGTACATGGTTTTTCACCATGATTATAACTCGCCCATACACACAGAGGGCTTGAAATCTCGAGAAATTGTAGATGATACTTCCAAGAGAAATCTGGAGCAAGATGCAGACACACTTGTTGAAGAACAGAGAGTAGAGTTGCAATTTAGGTCAGCTCTATGTGGTAATGAGGGTAATCAAGATGACCAAGGCAGAAGGGTTGAAAGTTTTGATGAACAAGCAAGACGAAAAGCTGAAGTGATGGAAAGTGCGCCCGAAGGCAGTAGTGGTCCAGCAGGTCAATGTACGAGGAAGGACACCTACTGGTGCTCTCCGGCATCTTCGGTTGAAGAGGTCGCTTTTCTAAAGGTGCCTGTACAATTATCGGCTTACGAGCTCAAGGAAAGCGTTCCTGGGAAGGATGAAATTATTCAGACGTGGTTTTACTGCCACGCCTGGAGGAAACGCTTCCGATTGGCGTACAGCCATTCCAGCGTGTATGCTTGTGATTTAGAGGTTGGGCGTCTGGTGATACACAGCTTTAGGTTCAGACGGGCATACGTTCGACAATTATTCCACCGGCGTCGAATTCCTCACTCTTGTCAATTGGTTAGAGCCATTAAACGTCTTGTTTGGGACGCTATAACTTAATCGTCAAGTTCGATATTCTGGTGGTTTCTCTTGGATCTTGATTGCGGCCCACGGAAGGGTGTTTGATGTGAACTTGCAGTTGAAGAAGTTACATGCAATGTAACATTGACTTGATGTGTAGTTCTTTTTTTTTACCTAATAGGGTATATATGAAAAAAGGTGGTGTACTAAACAGGCTAATTCAGGTATTTTATAATAAGCTAGATGAGTTCATACTTTTTCTTGCTTCGTGTGTATATAGTGGTTACAGAATGTGGACCTCTTGACGATGTAGCGAACTGTAGCCCGGTGATGTGTTGAACTGCGTGGTGCAAATATGTGGTTTAATTGTGACGTAGTGCAGAACGCGCACTCATCGGCAGTTTTTTTTTTTTTTAAAAAAAAAAAAAAAACTTGAATAAAAGGGGGGCGTATGTGATGTGTGGTGCGCGTTTAAAGTGCGCGCCTTTGGAAAGTGCGCGTCACAAAAACAGAAGAGAACAGAGTGCACGCGCGGTGCTGCCTAGACAACGACGATGACGACGACAGTGAAGATGTCGCGTGCATGAGGACGCGTGGCATCCCGTGAACAAAATAAAAGATAAGGTAACCAATGATCATAGACCACGGAGATTTCAAGGCCCAATGGCTGGGTACCACGAAAGTACAGAATCTCCAATCAGAACGAGACAAGTGGGCCAGAGCTGAAGCAGGAGCCTGAGCAGACCAGAGCAAGGGGAATTCGAGGCAGGCAGTGCAAGCGGAAGGTCGTCACCGGACCGGGCGCTGAAGATGGGCCGTTGGGTTCCGGACCCGAGCCTACAGGACTTCCACCGGCCGGGGCCTCCTGCTGTCGGGTTCCCGCTCCAAAGGACCGTGGCCATCCGGTCCTGAACTCCTTTCCAGAGCCTGCGGACTTCGGTTCCGGCAGGCGAGCTACAGCCGTCGGGCTCCGGGCCCGAGCTGTGCGCCCAGCTGCTTGACTAGGTCGACCCTAGTTCCCTGACGCGTCGCCACCAGCCTGCGTTCTCCCGTCTCCGACGTGTCCACGCTCCTCAAGCCGAAACCATCACGATTTGGTAGGGCTTTCCGACGTGTCGCCAGCAGCCAGCGTTCCCTCGTCCTCGTCCAGCCCACGCATTGACGCAGGAGTCACGGCGTTCCGGTTTCTCATCACCGCCGAAAACCAACTTGTGGGTGAGACTGCACCGATACTCTTGCGCTACTCCCATCACTCAGCCCCTTTCGAACGTTAGGTTTAGTTACTGACTTTGAACGTTCTTGTTGGGTGTTTACAGATGTGTTTCGTCATGTCCAGTCAACTGTTTATTAAGTGTTTTGTTTTGTGAGGAATCTTTGCCTTTTTACTTTTCAATTAAACTTTTTGTGTGTTTCTTGGAAACCGAACGGCTTTGTCCTTATTAACAAAACTCTCTGAGGCTCAGCCCGGGAGAAAAACAAATCAGCAACAAGAACCCCACATCACAGTGCTACAGATTATTTCTACGTAAAACGCATGGGCACCGCCATTTTGGTTTGTTAAACGAGGAGGAGGAGGATTGAAAGAGGAAGGACAGGGATGTTAGCCAGTTCTCACGAAACTCCTTTTTGTATATCGCGGTGGGAATCGATAAGGGCAGGAATCGCACCAACCTATTGCATGTCATGGAGTATATAGCAGCACCTTTACCGATGTAGTTCATTCCTAGTACAGTATTGTGGAGAGTACCTAAGCCCTCCGTACTGAACGAGCTATCGCGTCTTGAATTGACTCTCACGTAGAAATGCTTCGGCCCGTACTCCCTCCAAGCACCTCCACCAGAGAAGCCGGCAGCACTGCAGAACGTTACAGCGTCCATAAAAGTACCCATCTCTGTTACTTCAATATGCTTTGATATAAAGAAGGGAAGCTCTGCCAACGCATACAGTGTATCGCAACATTGCTGAGCTAAAAAAAAAAACAAATCACCATTACTTGTTCCGGCAGTATAAACTAGAAAAATTAGTTGTCGAAGGCTGAAGTCACCACACAGTTCACTTGACTGCGACAGGCATGCACGTGGAGAGATCTGTGTGCTGTAGCAGTCATATAGTAAACTCGAAACACGGCACGATACAACAGATGGGGGTTACAAAGAAAAGTCGAAAAGGAGAGATCAGGTCGCCAGGTTTACATCAGAACCAATGAAGTATCGGTATCCACCATTGCGCAGTATTCGAAAGAGGCCTAGTTAGTCCGAGCGACGACATGATATAGACTTTTTTTTTCTCTGCGTCTTACTTTTATTTAATAGTGTGATTATGGACCAAGAGCACGTATTCGACCTTTGATAAGACAGCGCGTTACGAAACAAACAACGAGAAAATGAATGTACAGGAGAGGCACTCACTTGCCTTGGAGCATATAAACCCAGCTCCTGAGATGTCCTTCGCTTCATAACGCGCTGTTTTATAAAACAAAATTAACAACTAACTCGTCCTAATTTCCATATTGTGCCCATCCGAGTTGATAAGACAGCAACTCGCATATGAAATGCTGGAAGAAACCAAGACTGTTAACTTTTTCTGATACGTTTAAGAAACACGTAATGGCCGCATTATGGTATAATTGTCTCCGCACAATTGGACGATAATGAACTTGGTGACGACACTAAAACAAGTTTTACTATACTTGGAAAGATGCTTGCACTTTGTTAAACTTTTAAAAGCCTCCAGGCAGAACATCATGACCACGGCTGAAATTGCCCGAGCTTCCTAGTAATTGATACTGTCATGATCAAAAACCGACCCAACGACAGAGGATATCGAAGTGTGGAGAACGAGCAGAAACCGCCGTTTTTTTGTGATGAGGACGGTGTTCGAACGTCTGTTCTTTTGAAAGCAGACCTTGCCTTTTTCCACAGCGCCATGGTAATGTGCAATGTTCTCGCCCATAATGAGACGATATCAACAAAATATGAGAGTGCATTACTTTCTCGACCTCATCTTTTCTCATAATGCTCCCTGACAACTCTGTAATACCAAAACATAAGACTCTGCGCCATATTGTGGAGATAGTAACAGGTAGCCTCCATCATTGCGTGTTGGTGAAGTTGTACGCAGCCTTATTTTAACTCTTTCGTCAGCATTAGAGCCACTTTACACCCCACCACAGAAACTCCGCAGTCAAAATTACCACAACACCAGCATGACATTCATTGGCTACACGTGACCTTTCGGGAACGACGTAAGTATTCTTGCTCCATGGCATTGCACCACACAACCCTGCTTACAACCATCACTTTGCCGTCCGTTAAGGTGCCATTGGAGGTGATGCGAGTTGAAGATAATCAAATAACTTAATATCACTGATAGTTAAATAATTGAGAATGCCGCTATATATAACGCGAAAATAAGAACGAGCGTTTACGATAATTATTAGAGACAAGCATCGTCGTGTCCTGGTTGACTTGACTGTGTGGTGCGGCCCGTACAGGCCGCGCACTTTGCTATGTATATAGAAAGGCACGTCATTAATTGTTGAGGCATAAATACGTCAATATTGTTCACTTAAATTATAATTGCTTGCATGTTCTGTACTCATTTGCACTTTGCTCACGGGCCTTCAGGTGTACTTTGCGCCCGTAGAGAACAGGTACCTTGCGAGATTAACGCATGATGCCATGGCGGATCTGCGGGTGGTCCACTTGACTGGCTTCGCGACCGAAAAGGAGCTCGTGGCAGCCATGCGCCTCCAAAACGGCACGCCTGTGCACACGGTGGCGCTGCTGTATACGGACGTGGCTCCAGGGGACCGAGACAGCGTGCCAGTCAGCCTGCACGTCAACTTTTTCGGAGGTCGGCTACCATTCGACGTGCGCGTAAGTACACGAGATGCCACGACGGATTCAAGCAGGCGCATAACAGTAACGAAGTAACAGTAAGGAAGTGAGACGAAGCTTTCGACAGCGAGATCATAAAGAAACATCATTACTGCGATAGCTGTCTCAGATAACTTCCAACCGGTCTTCCGCCATCGTTGTGTATGCAATGTTCCGTAGAATGTACTGGTGTAACCAGCTCTAGTCGCCCACTGCATGATTTACGATGTTAGTATCCAGTTAAAGCTAGGAAGAATAATAGTACGGAGGCACCAGTGAAAACTGGGAGGTATGTGTTTGCCATGAAACTCTAGTGGTTGCTAAGCATGAAGGACGTCGCGTTGCCTCACCATTTCACGGTCGATGGCGCCAAAGTGAAAGAACACCGACGTATTAAATATGCGTGAATGTTTAAGAACACTGGGCGGATAAAATTATTCTGGAGTTTCTTACAGTGGCGTTCCCCAAAATATTTTGAGTGCTGTAAATGTGCTGCATGGCACAATCACCTCGACCGAGGTGCAGAAAAAAAAACGAAAAGAAAGAGTGCGGACGTAGTGATTTATTTTTCATAATCACCAGAAAGCCTAAAGGCTAATTAAACTGCGCCCCCAGAGCTTTCCACTTGTTGGGTCCCCTCGGGCTTCGATCGCCAAATCAGCACTGAGTGTATTTTGAAGGCGGTCTTTTTGTGTGATGCTGCCGCCCTACTTCCGTACTCCAATATGACGTTGTATACAATGTTGGCGATTATTGCTCACTGATTTGTAGTTACCTCGAGTAAAGTAAGTATTTATCAAGGTGTCTAGCAGGAACTGGCGTGTACCGCGTGAGGGTCATTTTATTATTAGAAGGGTTTATAGGTGCGCTTGAACTTCCGCAGGAACGGTAAGTTCAGATTGAAATTAAGCTAGCTACACCTAGAAGTTCTGAATGGGAACGTCTTATGATCGAAAGAGGAAACGGCAATCTTTGAGACCATTTGAATTGGTGCAGTAAAGTCAGTTTGCGTGCCCTAAAAAAGCAACTTCAAAAGGTTCACATCCAGCACACTATATTTCGCGATAACGATGCAAACGTTGCAATGTGAAATCTGTTTGATGTCAAGTCACATCTGTTTTATTACTTTCACTCAGCAACTGCACATCTTTTGATGGCACAGATTGCGCGCCACAGTCGCTTAGAAACACCTGGCGCAGACCTGTTGGGGCGATAGTAAAATGAACTCACACCTTACCTTATTCTTGTTTCCAAGTTATAAAATCACAAATAAAATAATCAGGGTGGCCTGGAACACACCGAGGGAATAGACAACAAAACGACACAGACCGGTGATGAGTTTGTTGAAAACCAGGAAATGTACGGATTTGTTTTGCGATCTTTCGTTTGGTCGTATCAGAACAAACCGATGCAAAGCGATGTCGTCAAAGAGGTAAGCAGCAAGTAAAATGACGGAATTTGGCGCTGTATTATTATGTGGAATAATCTTTCATCGTGAACCGCAGCTAGTTCAGCTGACTTTTGCTGCTGCTGCCTAAAAAATTACTTTCTAGTGATAAATTGACTTCCTACGCTCAGTTTTGGTTTTTCCTCCCGGTCTCCTATTTCAATCTAGTTCCAGTTCGTACTTCACTTTTTGTCAGTTTCCTTTTCACTTCGCGCCATAGCTTACCTCTGTGACAAGACAAGCAACTTCTATATCAAAGCTTGAGCTCCGAGGAAACATAAGTCGTAAGTGATGGGGAATATGATCGCCGTCATGTCCCACTACATTTGCTGGGCGGAGAGTGCGAGCAGGAGATGTAAATTCATATTCACTGGAGCACGTTGGATTTAAAGGGACTGACAACATCCCAGAACCTCAAATGAGGCGACCTCACGGATGGGAAGATTTTCCGCCGCATTGACTCAAATGAACCCTGTTTTTTTTTTTTCATGAGAGGGTGCTTTGTATGTTTATCTCTTCATTGAAAGCCACGAAAAACGACCTGTAGTGCTTCTTGCGGCAAATCATGAACGATCTGATGTCTCCGGACCACGTGGCCATGGACTGCCGTACGTGGGCAACAACTTTAAATGCGAAGCGTTTCTTAGCGAACTTCGGACACTTTGAGCATTATCTATCTATCTATCTATCTATCTATCTATCTATCTATCTATCTATCTATCTATCTATCTATCTATCTATCTATCTATCTATCTATCTATCTATCTATCTATCTATCTATCTATCTATCTATCTATCTATCTATCTATCTATCTATCTATCTATCTATCTATCTATCTATCTATCTATCTATCTATCTATCTATCTATCTATCTATCTATCTATCTATCTATCTATCTATCTATCTATCTATCTATCTATCTATCTATCTATCTATCTATCTATCTATCTATCTATCTATCTATCTATCTATCTATCTATCTATCTATCTATCTATCTATCTATCTATCTATCTATCTATCTATCTATCTACGACATTTAGTTCTTTGGCGGTTTTGATAATGATATCGATACGAAACTTGGTATGGCATAACATGACCTAATGAAGTTTGTATATGACTAGTTATAACATTAAAATCATGACGTGTATGCCATGACTGTCATGAATAACACGTCATGATCCTGCAGTAGTGGTAGTTTCGTTCACCAGGCATATTGCAAAAGCTGGTATGGTATGACATGACAGTCCGGTGAACACAAGAGACAGACCCTAACATGAAAATCATGACATGCGTGTCATGTAACAACATGACTGCATGCCACGCTCATGATTCACTCGCGGCCGTTTCGCTGGCGTCACATGTACCACATATGGTATAACAGTACGTGAATGGATGACGAAGGTATGTGACTGGTGCAAACATGATAATCATTAGATGCGTGTCATGTGAGAACATGACAACATGCCACAGTCAAGGCGCCAGTACATGGCAACGTGACGCGGTGCGCGTGCTCAACGGCATTCGTTTCGTCGCGTCACGCCGATGGTGCCTCGCCAGGCACCGGTCCTGCCATATACTCGCAGGCGTGCTCCACTCTGCGTTGCTTTGACGCGTGCGCGTTTCAGCGTATCCGGCGTCACTCCGTCACGAAAAGAGGGAGACGTACTGTTGTCTGGGTAGCACATCGGCACAAAATGCAGCATGTCGCGTTTCGCACCGGTTACCGTCGCACCGCGCCAATGAACGCTGGTCGCACCTGGCGTCAGACTATATAGAATGCTCGCGTTTCGCTAACGTAGCGTCGCTATGCCCAGCGTGCGCGCGCGTCAACACTTATATTGGGCTCTTCATGATGCGCTCGCGGCCGTTTTGCTAGCTCCACATATACCAAATTTGGTGTTACGTGACGTCAATGAATGACGAAATATATGACTGGTGCAAACAAGATATTCCTGACATGCGTGTGATGTAAGAACATGACAACATGCCACGCTCATTGCGTGCTCGCGGCCATTTCGCTAGCTCCACATATACTAACTTTGGTATCACGTGACGTGATTAGATGACGAATGTAAACGACACATCCACACATGATAATCACGACACGGAAGTTATGTAGGCATCATTACCTCCACCTCGTAACGTTGTGCTGATCTTAAAGTGACATAGTAACATTTCCTATTCGTGCTGCGCATATCATCGATTTCCACTGTACGTGGGATCTGCCAATTTTTTTCAATAGTATTCAAATATTGTTTGTTTTGTTATATCAAAACATGTTACTCCACAAAAATGTCAATATAAACCTGCGTTATCATTATGCATTAAAGTAGCACTTCCTTCGTGTGACGTAATGACCCTATGATCGTCAGCGCGTCTTGAGCTACATTTCAGCATGCTCATGCAACCATGCACGCAATTTCCAGGTCGCTAAGATTTTGGAGTGGCCCCACTGCGGTGGTCTAGTGGCTAAGGTACTCGGCTGCTGACCCGCAGGTCGTGGGATCGAATCCCGGCTGCGGCGGCTGCATTTCCGATGGAGGCGGAAATGTTGTAGGCCCGTGTGCTCAGATGTGGTTGCACGTTAAAGAACCCTAGGTGGTCGAAATATTCGGAGCTCACCACTACGGCGTCTCTCATTATCATATGATGGTTTTGGGACATTAAACCCTACATATCAATCAAGATTTTGGAGCGACGTAGTTTGGCCACCTACACTTCGTCTCAGAAACGACGTGCACTGCTACTTGGCATGACCAGATGTTTTGGATGGTTTAGCTTGGTTCGTGTAGAGAGAGAGCAGCAACGCCGGGGCACGCCAGACATGACTCAGGTGCATGAAGCATGTTGCTAATACCGAGGTGTATGATGTCATGTCATCTCAACGTAATAACTTGTTGTTTTTGAAAACCGTCGGAAATTCAAAATCACGATGGTCAAGCATAGTTACAGGAACTCCAGCGAAAGCAGAATGACGACAGCTTTCACAAATTGCGAGAAGGGCTGGTGGCGTCTCTATAAATTCTCAACAGTGATGGAGCAAAGGTAAATCTGCGTTTAGAGCCTCTCAAGCAACTACGCTCTTTTGATGATACCTGCCACAGCTACAAATACTGGTGGGAGTGATATTTCTATTGCACCGTAAAAAATAGCTCAAGAAACGTTTCGTCTTGGTCCCCTTAAGATAAAGTCTCGAGAGACCTGCGCTGTATGCATATTTTTATCGGAGAGCGTTAGATCTTCTGCAAATATTGTTACATTTTTTATTCTGTGTACGTGTCTACAGGCGTGTTTTAAAAGGTTTCTTCACTTTGTCCGCAGGTCAACTATCTAAAACGCCTTCTGTCGCAACCCGAGGGGCCCTCGAAGGAAGAGCGCTTCCCCGAGGTGAACACGCTGCTGCCCATTATGGGCGCCCTGCAGCAGCGGCACCTCGAGTACCAGTCAATGAGGCACAATCGCACCACGAGCCGGATGCGGCCCGTGCACCTACAGCGATTCCCGTACCCGACCTACATAGAGCACAAGGACACCAAGAACTACGCGCTCGTACTGACGCGGTTCTGCGTCGGAATGCTGGTTCCGTTCGCCGTCTTCGTTGCTAGACTCAGCGAGGAGAAAACGTCCGGTGCGAACAAAGCTTTTTTTCTTTTCATGCGGACTTTTATGACTTGCGAACATATCTTTTCTATTTTCTTGTGCTACTTTCTGCCGTTTTGGAAGGGCTTTTATAGGGGCCTGGAGTACAGGTATTGGGATAACGAGAGCCTCCGAGTTGAAGGGATGTTTTTACTCGAGGTAGTGCGCGCGTTTAGAAGAAAGTGGCTAACAACTCAGAGTACCTGGTACTCTACTATGGAATAGCCCAAAGCCGTCACGGCGGCCAAGACTTGTGCTTAGAAAAAGTGGCTAACGATTTAGAGCACAAGGTATACTCTACTATGGGAGAGCTCAAAGTCGTCGCGTGGTTCACAATGTCTGAGTAAGTGATGGAAGATACTTGAGTGTTTAAAAAGAGTGGTTAATGATTTAGAGTACTTGGTACTCTACTCTGGGAGAGCATGAAGCCGTCCCGTAGCACAAATTGTGTTTATAAGAAGGTGTTAACAATTTGGGAGTATGGCCTGAAACTGCACTTTATTGCTGTGTAGGAAGCATATTCTGGCATCACGCGCGAAGGACACGACACCATCGAGTGTATAGAAGAGGTCCCCTTATGTGCGCCGCTTTTCATTTCCTGCGATACCCTCTATCGTGGGTTTGTAGACAATTTGCCGTTTCTGAAGTGATGCTCTGATATTTTATTAAGGTAACTTGATACATTACATCATAATATTTGATTCCTAATTATGAACACATGACCACCGATGTTGCCTGCAGAATTGGAGTGTATAGCTTTTAACACGGTGTAAGATACAATTTCTTTGTATCTTGCAACATGGCTTCTAAGCACGTAAATAGCGGTACAATTTCCCCATAGAGTAAGGAAAGCATTAGCAGTAGGGGAGAGAGTATATGGGGTTGTGTAAAAGAAAAAAAAAAAAACACTATGCAAGTGCACAGGCGCATAACTTCGCTTGTCATCATTTCTCCGAAAACACAAGAGTTCACGATTTTCTTTAACGTAAGCAATGTGCCAGGCGAGTCTGAATCACACACAACTCCTGAGAATATGCTCCAGTCTGACGTATTGTACCACTTGTAGTTAATGTGTGCGGTGGTGTTTTGGTAAAAGCACGAAAACATTTTCGGCACCTTCAAGTTTCGCGTTTTAGTGTTGAACGCGATAGCGAAATTCTGTCTTTAGTGCATATATTAACCACTTAGAACGTACTTTTACGGCAAAAGCTGTATATGGCTAGAAGAAACGAAAAACCGTCCGGCAGCAGTGTCCCAAGTGGTCTCCATTGGCTGTCTTATCAGGTACGTCAGTCGCAGCGTCGTACCTAAGTACGCGAGACAGTGGCTGAATTGTGAGTGACGTCGTCCATCCCGCCACAGCCGGGGCACGCAGCATGTGCACATAAGTTCTTGAAACGTTGCACGTTGGTATGCCAAGGGCAACTCTATAAGAGCGTCAACAAAGAAAATATAAGAGAGCTCGCATTCGCCGGGTCCAGAGGGGCCGATGGTGCCGTCCGGGCACAAGAACAGGCCAGGGAGTCCGAGTGCCGGCAGCAATTACGCGTACCCATAATTCGGCAACTTTGCAAGCCGCGCTAAATTACGAACGGGAATGCAAACGCCGGTGGCCGACGGATGCTGCAGAACCACGCAACCGAGTTACCTTGCCATGTCAAACGCTTGCACCAACGCGAAGTAGCGGTGTCAATGTGGTGATTGCGGGTACGCATTCGCTGGTAGTTTCTGCAGCTGTCGTCTGTGACCACTGGAGTCAGAGGTGACGTCTGTGACCGCCTGTGGTTCGAAAACAACCACTGTAATTGACGCTTTGTAGAACGAACTTAACCACTCATTACAGTTCTGAATGAGCGTGATTATGCAAGGTATATGTGCTGCACGTGAAATAAGCATTGTGGTAACCCCAAGGCAAACAACGGGTGTGTGACCTCATTAAGAAGAACGAACATACAACGAATAACTGTGAAAGCCCCGCCATGGGGGTCTAGTGGCCAAGGTACTCGGCTGCTGACCCTCAGGTCACGAGATCGAATCCCTGTTGCAGCGGCTGCATTTTTGATGGAGGTGAAAACGCTGTAGCCCGTGTGCTCAGATTTGGCTGCACGTTAAAGAACCCCAGGTAGTCGAAATTTTCGGAGCCCACCAATACGGCATCTCTCATAAGCATATGGCGGTTTTGGGACGTCAAACTGCACATGAAAATCTATCAATAATTGTGAAAGGCTTCAGGGCTACGTCGGCTTGAACCCACTGCTAAACACCATGGCCGCACGTTTCAGCTTTCGCTGGTTCACGATTTGTAAGGAGGGCTTGGGCTATGCTTTTTTATTGTATGGTAATAATAGGAAGTTTAAATTGAAGATCGCTACTAGGTAATCGATAATGCTGAAATTTACTTGCGCTAGTGCAGCTTTCGCATATGGCTGTATTGTGTGTAATGGGTAGAATACCTTAAACTACAAGCAATTGTGCAGGTGAAATGTCTTTGAACTGGCCTATGCACCCGATACGTAGTCTTAAGGGAAAACGCGCAGTAGCCTGTAGGCCTTTCTAATGGCTCGCCGGCTTTACAGCACGAAGTCATTATAATAATCACATGTTCCGACACCCGATGGAAAGTTATACGCTTGAACCATGCAACATTAATGCGACATTGCATGTTGCATTATGAATCCTGTGTACAGAAAGCGTTTATACATCCTGTAAAATACTTTCACTGAATTTCCAACCAGCGGAAGGTACCTCCAGTTTTTTTTTAAGCAGATACGTTGCTGTGTGGTAGAACATTTACCGGTTCCACAAACGACCCAGGTGAATTCAATCCTCACTTAGGGCCAGCAAATTTATATTTTTTTATTTTATTTGACTTTTCTCAATATATTTGATGACGGACAAGGTATTTTTTCCCCACAACCGACCCCGGCGCTAGAATTTCTGCGATATGAGTTTTTTAACGCTACCGTTCATTTATACAAAATTGAGATCCTTCCCTTCATGTTAAGCGACATTGACCATCAAGAACAATTCTATTGCCAGTACTTGGTGTTCATCGTGTGAATTGTACGCAACCTATATGGCATACCAAATAATCACATGTTCATCAATAAATTTAAGGGTGCTATATTCGGCACATCTGAAATAATGACATAGATATAATACGAGTTTGAATAATGAGTTCCTGTTATGTGTTTAGATACACTGAACTCAATGCTACCAGGTAGTCTGCATGAGCGCGTGATACAGCAGAAAAAAAGCCGAGGTGTTGCGTGTGCCGAAGCTGGATAACGGCGAAAACGGGGTCACTGGGGCTGAGCGTGTTTGCGCATGTGGCACGAGCTTGAACCGCATCCCCACAGGAGCCCACTTTCCTTCCATTAAATGAAAAGAGCAGTTCACTCGAAGGCAGCATAAGGCGGAATTATTGTATAATCAAGAGCTTACTATGCATGTTGTTCGAATAACACGTTGTGAAAGCCGTCACTACTAAGTGCTATGCCATAACTTTCAGGCTCCGAAATATGACTGCAGTATGACATAGGTAGCTTTTGGCTGGTAATTTGAGCATCTTTTTACAAGTAAATGATTATCAAGTTTCGGCTATCACTTACAATGGCTGCAGTAAAATTGCTCTAATGCATATTCATTCGCTGCTAAATGCATGCACTAATTAGTTTGCATGCAGAAAATTAGTTTGCTTATATATTTTGTCATTGTATTGTTTGCTTATATATTTGTCATTGTCATTGTTCCCTTTCTGGCAACATATCAAGCTATGTACCATCACTATATTTTTTAGCGGGGTATTGTCCGTTAGCGACTAGTTAGGAACCTTACTTCAAAGAAATAAACTGAAGGGTGTCAGTACATATGGGAAATGCTTGGAAGGAATTTCTGCGGTAGGTTTTCTGAGTAACACGACTTTACAATTCAATGTAAAACAATGCTAATTCATGCTTCGTTAGCGTTGGCACTCAGCATGCCTTTTTTTTAGAATTTTTCGCTTGTAGTACTATTTTTTCCTAGAAATACCGTGTTTCTAAGTAAACTTAGAACTTACGTGCAATGGCCCTTTTTTATAGAAAAAAATTACAGCTAGTACAAGTGGCGCAAGTTTGAAAGAACTAGCTGCGCTGGTGGCCAACTGACATCCAAAGTTTTTGCTTGTAATGTTGTAGGTATGGTCACAGTAGTACTAAGTAGGGTCCCACATGGTATTCACCTATTTGGATCGGTTCGCCACACTACGTAATTCTTGCGTGATTTTGGCGGGGACTATAGCTGTTACGTGGTTTCTGTCGGGAACGTGGCACTTGACATGTAATATGATGTTGCGCGAACACAGCGACGTGACTGATTATTACGGGCGTTACGTGATTTGAGCCAAACTACAGTTTTTCCTCGATATGACATAATTTTTGTCAAGTGACACGCTTTTACCCGACACCGACACCATGTCATTTTAGTCGCGTGTGTATGTCTTGTGATGTTACACAATAGTGGTTACATGATTAGTTATACGCAGTTTTTTTGTGACAACAAGTCATGAGACTGGCGGTTAAGTGATATTTAGTTACGTTACTATTGACACGTAACCAAGTGACATCAGTGCCCGTGTCCCTGATGTCACTTGGTTACGTGATGGTACACGATTTTAGTCACGTTATCACACGTAATTTTTAGCCATGCGACTAAGGTTTATCTGACATCATATTTCTTTCTGTCATGTGACTAGCTTTCGCATGAGATTTCTCGCTTTTAGTGAAATGACCATATGCTTCGTGATATTGCGTGTATATATATTAGGGACGAGAGGAGTTGCTACGTGAAGATGCGTGATTTTGGTATCGTGACTCGATTTTACTTGATTTTAGTCACGTCACTAGTTACGTGATGTTATGTGATTTTGAGCATTTGACTATTGTTGCATAACATTGTGTAATATTTGGTTACAAGATTAGCAGGTACGTGATGTTGCGGGATTTTTGCCTGCTCATTAAGTATTTAGGTGGCGTTGCACGTTAAATATTTGTCCACCCTGATTTCCGAATTCAATTCTCAACGAATCGGAGCACGTGAAAGACGGAAGTGGAGTACAAAGCGAGCGCATGTCACTGATGGTTTCACGATATATGCTCTTCCTCCTACATGGCCCTGAGCCATGCTCCCAGTTCGGGCTGCAGAAGTCGCGTCTTTTTCTTTCCTCAACCTCTCTTTCTTCTCACTACGCGGTACGATAAGAGGCTTAAGCAGTTGAACTGTTGAAACTCACACGCCTAAGACTACTGAAGTCAAAAGCCATCCTGTTTTCATAATTACTCTTCGTCTTCTGTATGCACTGTACTAACCCTATCTCTATACGTTTTCTGCAGCTTAGATGGCTTTGCATGGTCTCGGTGATCGGCTTGTATTCGGCACCTAACGCCGATGTCTCGTGATGATGTCCTTATATGAGGCCATGGTGACGACGTTGTGGTGTTACAGGAACTCTCTGACGTTACACCTTTCTGCTTAAATGACGGCATGTCATGTCACAATGAAACTTTGGAACCATCATTACGCCATCGGTCCACGTACGGGCACATCAGTACCACGTTAGTTTTGACAGTTTACTATCACTTGGTTGGTCTTTTTCGAACCATCCGTGCTGACATCACCATCTCGCGATGATATGGCAGGATACACCAAATTTCCCGATTTCATGACTAGATGAAGCATTTAAGGCTTCTTCCTTAAAACATGCTTGGTGACAAAAATCAAGGGCCGACCAATCGTTCAAAACGCATAAAGGCAAAGACGTTTCGTTGACAATATGGGGACGTTGATATAAGTTCTTGCTTGATATGAGGGGTTTAACGTCCCAAACCAGCATGATGATGAGAGACGCCGTAGTGGAGGGCTCTGGAAATTTCGACTACTTGGGGTTCTTTAATGTCCAGGCATATGTGAACACATGGGCCAACAGCATTCTGGTCTCCATCGAAAATGCAGCCACTGCAATCGGGATTCGATCCCACGACCTCCAGGTCAGCAGCCTAGTACCTTAGCCCCTGGACTACCTTGGCGGGGCACCATCCAGGTTCTCGTAGCTGCACCGAAACGGCTCTGTGTTTTCGTGTGTGTTTGTGTACAATTGGTCAGCGCTTGATTGATTTCGCCACGAGCTTCCTACCACACGGGTTCACCTATAATCCTATATTTTAACGAGTGGTTGCCTTTCGCTCAGGTATGAAAGAGATGCTGCGCGTGGTGGGCCTCAACGATTGCGTCTACTGGGTGAGCCACTACATCAGTGGCTTCTTCATGCACCTGATCATCGTGACCCTGATGATGCTCATTCTGTGCGTCAAAAGGAACGAAGATGGACGCGCGTTCATCCAGTTCAGCGATCCGTTCCTTTTGTTCTGCATCCTTATGTGCTTCTGCAGCTCGTGTCTTATGCACGCCACGTTGCTCTCCATGATTTTCGCCAGTCGTGAGTATTCTTAAATGCGAAGCATTTCTTAGCGAACTTCGGCGACTCAGCGTATCTATCTATCTATCTATCTATCTATCTATCTATCTATCTATCTATCTATCTATCTATCTATCTATCTATCTATCTATCTATCTATCTATCTATCTATCTATCTATCTATCTATCTATCTATCTATCTATCTATCTATCTATCTATCTATCTATCTATCTATCTATCTATCTATCTATCTATCTATCTATCTAGCCGCCTAGGACTTGTAGCTCTCCTGGCCGTATCGGTAATGGTATTGATACCAAAATTGGTATGGCATAACATGACTGTATGATGAGCATAAGCAATTAGTCATAATATGAAAATCAAGACATGTACGTCATGAATGTCATGATTTACAATCATGGTCTTGCTGCTCTTGCGGTGGTTTCGTTCACATGACATGTTGTAAAACTGGTATGGTATGACATGACGGCATGGCGAACACAAGCGACCGACTGTAACATGAAACTCATGACATGGGTGTCATGTAACAACATGACTACATGCCGCGCTCGGGATGCGCTCGCGGCTGTTCCGCTAGCTTCGCATATGCCAAATTTAGTATTACGGGACGTGAATGGATGACGGAGGTATGTGACTGATGCAAACATGATAATCATGAGATCCGTGTCATGTAAAAACATGACTACATTCCACGTTCTTGATGCGCTCGCGGTCGTTTCGCTTGACTCACATATACCAGATTTGGTGTTACGGTACGTGAAGAATGACGAAGGTATGCGACTGGTGCAAATATGATAATCATGGCATGCGTGTCATTTAACCACATGACTACATGACACACTCATGATGCGCTCGCCGCCATTTCGCTAGCTCCACATATACCTAATTTGGTTTCACGTGATGTGAATAGATGACGAAGGTAAATGACACGGTCCAAACATGATAATCATGACATGGTTCTCATGTACGGCACCATTTACCTCCGCCTCTAAACGTTGTGCTGATTTTAAAGTGACCTAGCAACCTTCTTCATTCGTGCTTCGCATGTCATTGATTCCCACTGTATGATGATTCTGCCAGTTTTTTTTACATGCGCTCTCTACGTCAAAAAAATTTGCGTATTTGAACGTATTTTACCAGGACAGGAGTTCAATGACTTTTGTGTAGTTCTTGTTTTTTGCATTCATGGTAGCACAGCCGACATATGATCTATACTGGACTCTTTCAAACGCAAAGGGTACAAGTAGTTGCTAGCTTGCATGATATTGGGCAGTTCTGCTACATTATTTGCTGTCTCACAATTTCCTTGTAAGGTATATGGGGCGTAGTTAAGACTAGGTACCAGTAAAACGTGTCAATTGTTTGTGAAGAGAAGAAAAGCTCTTCAAATATCTGCTCTGAGGCAAATCTCTTGTTAGCCCGACCAAGATGTGAACAAACCATACACACAAACCAAACAGCACTTGGCTATCCGTAATTATAGGGCTCTAGCTTGCTTAAGCAACCCTTCCATTATTTTCAAATATGTACGCTAGACTTTGGTTTTGGTTGAGGACCACAGCAATTTTCTGAAATTTTTGTCTGCACCTGGTGGTTTTCCTACCACAAAATGCACCCAGTTTCGTGGCTTTAAAGATTGGTGTAGCAAAAACTGCCCAAGCTTCATGCTGTATATGATAATGTAATGCACTAAATATGCCAAAATTTGGGCAGCTGAGCAAACTGCGACGCTAGTATTGTTTTCTCACGCATGGATTTGTCTATGCAGCTACAGTGATCCAGCATCTATTTATGAAACGTTTCCCGCATTTTTAGATGTGAAGCAGCTTTTGATTCACGTATATAATGCCGTACCAGCGTGTATCTGCACAAATGTGCCGCAACGCGTTACCAACGCTATAGCTATTGGAGCGGTGCCGAGTAGGTCACGCCATAGCTGTGCGTTGACGTCACTTTCTCCCTCACCCGCAGCACGCTCGCCGCAGCGCCCACTCGCAACTCGATTCTCTCTCGCGTCACTCTCTTCGCCACCTGCAGCGCTCAACCACACGTCGAGTGGAAAAACTTTTGCGGCTCGTTTAACTGGGGTGAAACTTAGATATAACCCAACTCGTCTCCCGTGTCTTTGCGTTTCAAACAAACGTTTACTCGAGTAAACTTTGCACTAAGTTTCGCTTCAAACCGTTCTTGCAGCACCCGCGTTGACGTTCGTTCCAACTAAGTCGACGCCATGCGCACCACTGCTGCTTCGCATCCCATCATGGTTCATAATTTTTTGTGCTTAGTTGAACAAAAGTGCAATTTCAGAGTCAGCGCTTCATTATGTCAGTATCTGACTATCCCTCCTTTTCAAGAAAGCTGTGCTACTTACTTACAAGTCGGCAGAATTAGCTCTAGGGAACCTTGATATAACTGCCATTAGGTGGGAGTTTCAAATCGCGCCAGTCTTGCCAACAGTTAGGCTGAATGCTGAAGAGAAAGCCACGAGTGCAAGTAGTAATAGGTAGCACCTGATGTGCCGCATGAACCCATTCGTGATGCCTATAGTAAGCTAAGCAAAGCCTATGAAATCCTTACTTCTTCAATTTATTTTATGTTCGAATCTGTAGAGAATTCATAGCAGCTTACTTTAAGCACATTAGAAACCGGCCCCAGGCCTTTCTGTGAGCAGACCAGCGTTCCAGCACACGCATTCTGTTCAGCCGCCATGTTGTTTTTTCCAGTTATTAGCCTGTACCCTTTTGTATTGGACGCCGACTTTGTGAATTCGTCTACATTGCCGCCATGGTGTAAATACAAATTACACTTCAATCTGCCCGTAATACTTAGGTGCATATTCGTTTACGTACAGCTTCTTTATATATCTTATTATATTTTATTATATTATATAATATTATATTATATTAAATATTATATATCTAACAAGCAGCTCTAAATTATTATCCGCGCAAGGTGGCAACTGCTCAGCCAGAGTTCTTGCTTGAGCTTTCGTCCCATTTATCATTATGTTCATAATCAGTCTATTATTTTTATGTCGTCCGTAACCAATCACTGTAAATTATGTGCCTATATATTACTTACGAACCTATTTACAGATTCACATTTTTGAAATACGCAGTGCAGAGGTACCATTTCATGCCCAATGAAAGTATTCCGCAGCCCCTCACGTAACTCCTGACATTGTGTCAATTTAATGAAGGGTATACGACATTGATACCGATGGCAATATCATCCCGTTAACTACTGAGGTCCTCAGCCCTTTGTTTTTTCGAGTTCGCAGTGTTGAACGCATGCACTTGCTGAACAGTGGGGCTTCTATAGCTGTTGTCCCTAACTCCCGAGAGCAATATGAAGCGACATTTTTAGCCAATGAGTGTCTGGGAACAGAACGTTGCAAGCGCAATGATTACAGAGCCTCGAACAGAGCTGAAAAGCATATCGAAGACACGTGATGAACTCACCACGACGTAGAGCCGGAAGGGCCTCAATTGCACCTAAGGTCACCTAGTATTGAGTGGACAGAGTAGAAATATGGCTTAAAACTCTCAGATTTGTGGTTCTGCACACCTCGCCCTTTGCACTACCTTTTTTCCGGCACAGCACACACTGCGGTAGCCGCTGCCATGTTGTACTGGACCTTCAGCTGCCTGATGCCGTTCCTCGCGCTCGAGAATGCCGGTGGCCAGGGCTATCACTTCATCAAGCGAAGCCACAAATTGGTGACGTCCGTCTTCCCCGGCATGAGTTTGCACTGGAGCTTCCGCGTTCTCGAGCGCTTCGAGAAGTTCGGTGAGACACTGCAACTTACTGCGTGCCTTTCGCAGTGCGCAAAGTACTGAGAGGGAAATTGCTCCCGCGTCTCACATTCCATGCTGTCTTATCAATATATATATATATATATATATATATATATATATATATATATATATATATATATATATATATATATATTGGCCACGATGGGGACACACTCACTTTTCAGGCATTTTACATTCGCTTGCTCCGGCTGAAGTTTCAATATGCCAACAAAACTAATGAATCCAGAAAGAAGTTCTGGTAATATGGCCACGCGATTAATAAAGGCCACTTACGCCGTTTTACTCCAGAAAAACTAAGAAATCGACAAAGTAACGCCATCTGTATGGCCGAAGCACGGCGACCACCCCAACGAGCTGCATACCGAGCGTTACTGAACATTAGCATGATCATGGTTCGGTACCTTACAAAACAGATTGAAACTCAGGGTGAAGAAGCCTTTATCTGAAGGTGGCATACACGTTTTTTTGGAGTTCGGAATGGGAATATTGAATTTCCTTTACTGCCGTTTTAACTCGGGAAGAAAATTGCTTCACGTCACACGTCATATGTGAATATGTTCCAATTTACTGCTTTTTTTGCGTTTCTTGAGTGTTTTCTTGAGTGATTCGTGATCGTGATTCGTGAGAGTTTTCTTGAGTGATTCGTGTGTGTGTGCGTGTGCATGCGCGTGTATGTGTGCGTGTGCGTGTGTGCGTGTGCGTGCGTGTGCGTGCGTGCTTGTGCGTGCATGTGCGTGCGTGTGTGTGCGAGTGCGTGTACGTGCGTGTGTGTGCGTGTGCGTGTGTGTGTGCGTGTGCGTGTGCGTGTGTGCGTGTGCGTGCGTGTGTGTGTGCGTGTGCGTCTGCGTGTGTGCGTGTGCGTGTGCGTGTGCGTGTGTGTGTGTGTGCGTGTGTGTGTGTGTGCGTGTGCGTGTGCATGTGTGTGCGTGTGCGTGTGTGTGTGTGCGAGTGCGTGTGCTTGAGCGTATGTGTGTGCGTGTGCTTGTGCGTGTGTGTGTGCGTGTGCGTGTGTGTGTGCGTGTGTGTGTGTGCGTGTGTGTGTGCGTGTGCGTGTGTGCGTGTGTGTGTGTGCGTGTGCGTGCGTGTGTGTGTGTTTGTGTGTGTGTGTGCGTGTGCGTGTATGTGTGTGTGAGTGTGTGTGTGTGTGTGTGTGTGTGTGTGTGTGCGCGTGCACGCGCGTGGGAAGCTGTTTGAGCAGATATGCGTTGTAATATTCGCTTTGAGAAGAAAATTACCAGGGTAGTATATAGCGGTTGACACGACAGCACGAAGCTCACCGAACATATATGCAGCCTTTCACACCAGCCAATTTGTATTTCTTTTGCCTGTTTTAGCTTCACGGAGTTGGCTTTTTTTTTTCAAAATAATTAATCGTGAGAGAGGGCCGCCAACAGCATATCGAATCTTTGACGATGATCCTAATTTACAGTTCTTTAGAAGTACTATGTAAGATCAGGTTGTGTGACCTTTTGCGAATAGCATTGTACAGGGGATCGTATCAAATAGGGAACTATTTGTTTGGACAGACCACATTGGAGGTCAGAGGGCTATGTTCTTGTTCTAGGCTAAAGTTAGCGGAAAGTAATCTTTTGGTTAATTCACCGTTAGAATTAAAATTTTCAACGTGACTCAGCGCAATATACAGCTCAAGAACACACGCAGGCGTGATTATAAGTGTGCAGACCACCGGATCGCGTGGCCAAAGGCACCGACGCACGATCTAGCGACGAGACGCCTGCTCCGGTGTGTATGCGCGTCCCCGTACTCCTCTCCCTAGAACACTGGCGATGTGTACATAAGCGGTAGAGCGCGCGTTAGGAATTCTGTCAAGGGCGTCTATAGCTGGCTTTCGCTTGACTTGTAGCTTTGATTTACTCCAGTATATGCGATGGAAGTAACAGTATCTTCAACCAGTAGTAGGGCACAACTCAACATCAGCGTCCCACCACTCGTAGAAACAACGCTTTTCTTTCATTTGATAACTAGGAACAATAAAGACGAAATAACAATTAAGCATTTCCAAACCATACCCAGTTACGCAATTTCCGCGCGATACTACCTCCCCCCTCCCCATCTCACTCGGCGACGCATTTACTCGAGTTTCACCGTGGGAAGATGCGGACGGCTTTTTGAAAGCAACGATTGATTGCAGAATCTCTCAGACTAACAGGTACTGTTGGAAACTTAGTTACCTGCATGACTTACTCTAATTTAGATATAAAGCTCAAGTTATGTTTCTACAATTAGTGTTGTTATCATTGCTTTATTTTCTGAGTTCTCTGTGGTTGCGTTATGCTCTGGGGGCTTTGCAGTGCCCTTTGGGGCAAACTGGTCCAACTTCGCTAGCCACGCCGCCACACCTGACAACGTGACTCTTGCCGAGATCGTGTTCGTGGGCCTGATGTGCGACTGCTTAATCGGAGTCGTGGTCTGGTACTTGGACAACGTAATGCCTATTGGGCCCGGAATCGCCAAGCCCCTCCTGTACCCATTCAAGGTGATTGACGTCTTAGTTCATTGCGAAGCACCGACTAATGGTCTACTCCCACAGCAGAAACAGATTTAGAGTCTTACAGCGTTTCCTCGAATATGATACCGAGGCCACAATGATCGGCGTATGCGTGGAAAAAGGGAAAAGGGGTGCACTGTTGTAAATTGCACCAGTTACGAAGAAAAGAAGAATGCACTGTGCACTTGTCGGGCAAAAATGGCGGAAGACACTAATAATGACTGCTCGTCCATTTCAGGTCATGTCAATGGCCTGAAATGAATTTGGCGTTCTCGGGGGCCTGAATAAGGTAGGCTCTTCGCAGCCAATCTGAAAATTAAGTGTTAGGGAGGAGGCCGCCATTTATGAAGTGATCAGCAGTACGAGCTTACATACTTCATCTCATTCACACAAACGCATATAGCTGCCGTTTTGGGGTCACTTTGTAAGGCAGAATCAGATAGTGCCGCTCAATAGATCGAATGATGAAACTACCGATAAAAATGTTTTTCTACAATGTCATAAAGACCCAGTTTTGAATTTGCATCGTGATCCAAACCTCTACGTGAACACGAGAGAGGACCTTTACTGTAAAAGTTGGCGCTGCGATACATGGGTTGAACTTGAGAGGTATCCTCGTCTCGTTCTTGTATGTAAAGTTTGAAAGAAAGAAATATGCGTGCAGTCTTCATAAATATTCATGAAAATAGTGCTGATCCTGCAATCATGGTTTTCCTCCCAATATACTGAGCAGATGGAGTATTGGCTGCCCAGTATGACGTACCTCAAGGAGCCGTTGAGGTCGGCTAAAGAGGTTGCAAACTTCGAGCCGGAACCAAGAGATCAATGTGTCGCTATAGACCTCTTTCACGTCAGCAAGGCAAGCACCAATCGCCATCAACACCGCGACCCGAAGCAACTATGATATCGCTGTTACTTTCCCCTAATAAATTTATTTGTATACTAGTTCTTACTAGTTTAAAATTGGCACTTGGTTGTCTTGGCGTCTCGGGGAACATTTTGAATAGTTCCATGTATTGAGAGTGTGCCAAAACAAAAGCAAATTGTCTAATCACCTTCCGTCTGATTACATTAAACACAGGGCTTGCGTCGGATAAGCTTCCAGGACCGAGAAGAGCTTTCACAACGAGAAGGTGTGCTTCTAGCAGCTAGATAAGCATAGACAGTTTTCAATCGATAGGTAAAGCAAAGAAGGGCCGCGTACATATAGCTAGCCACTTCCGATATATGTGATCTCATGCAGTCATGACCATGAAAAGTGAATACCAGTTGACATCCTGATAAACCCAATAAAAGTTGTTTTTGATTGATTCATTCACAAGTGGTTAAACTGCACTGAACGAGATTTTGACACGTCGCTTCTGATGCGTACGTGTCGCAGGATTACGACGGCGTGGAAGCCGTTCATGACGTCAGTTTGCGCATCTTCAACAACCAGATTACCGTGCTTCTTGGCCACAACGGCGCCGGCAAGACAACGCTGCTGAACATGATCACCGGTAAGTAAGAGGCTCAATTCACGGACCCTGCGAGCGAGTGGCGTCCACAAGCAGTACGCCGCAGGGACAGACCCACTAGATGTCTCTGTAGAGGATCAGCTACTACAGCGTTCATTCGTTTTGGTTGGTACCATGTTAACTAGCAGCCTGCAGAGCTTTCTCCAACCTAGCCTTTGATCTCCCATGTGGAGACGTCGAGGCTATGCCTCACCACCAGTTCGCGGGCTTGCTTGGACAGCCGAAAGTTGGTTGCCGAGGCTGGGTATCTGAGAGGAAGCGACCAACCTTGGCTACACTATATGTGTGGAGCTCTCAATTCTTAATCACACTTAGTGTTGCTGTTGCATAGTTCACTATATTTAGGCGCAAATTGCATTGAATCTCTAAATATTTGCCGGCGTTTTAAGATTTACTTTGTGACGCACTCTCAGTAGATTTTATGATGACATGTGATACCGGAAACTTAGTACAAAGACATAAGTGAATTGGAACTAAATAGATATTAAAACAAGTTCTCCGTTGAAGCAAGTGGTCTCACTTGTGGCTATAATTGTAGTACTGGCGATGCCCGAGAGAGAAGACTCGGGCTACTTCGGCACAAACTAAACATCTATTAGTGCGGCTTCAAAAAGCAGTATTGCTGTTTTGTTCGAGTTCGTGTAGAAAGTTGTTTAGACATCACATGCCGCACTGGAATTTTATCACCATTAGGCAGAGCCTCCGTTTTCTTTTTGTACGTCTTGAGATAATGCACTTCCTATGATTCACAGGTCAGACATTTCGAGTTAACACAATATTGACTTGAATTTCGGCTTTTCTATGACTCCATACCTCCGTAATTTATGCCACCAGCACATCGATCGTCAAGCAGAGACTCAGTTTAGGAATAAGCGCTGCGAAAACTCATTCTCCTCAATACGACAAAGCGTAGTTTTTATTTGCATTGATGTTAAATGTTGAAGCTCAGATACCCTTACAATAAAACCCTGCAACCTCAAATGCCAATATGCAACGGCGGCTTTTTACTTATGCTAATATCCGCATTGATGGCAGCGAGAATGCCTTGCGACAAGCACTACTTCAGTTAGGTTATGCAAAATCTTAAAAAGCCTAAAATATAAGAATAAGTGCACGGAAACAATGTTAAAATAAGCCAAGCCTTACACAGAAGTATGCATCTTAAAGAACACCTTCTTGTTCATATGGGGCAATTTTGAAAGCAAGTTCTTCTTTTGTTAATTTTCAAAAGTAAAACGTTTCATTAAAAGAGAACTGCGCAAACAAGCCTTACTTAAATTCTAACGAAAAAACTAATTTGCTCTAAGGGAATGAAAGAAGCTTTTACCAGCGCAATCAACTAAAATAAATCAGACTAGATAATAAATAAAACATGAGGGTATATTACAAAAAATAATGCTTCGGCAACAGGGACACCATTGCATAACAAGCCGCCATAATATACTTTCGCGCAGGGTTATATTTCTTGAAGTTCATTGCAAAACCTCTAAATTGATAAGTTATTTCAAGTTTTAGTAGAAAAATCTTCATTACTAGAAAGGTTGAACTTGCTCAGGCATGAAAAAATACCAAAAATATAACTTGCAGCAGACTGCTTCATTACGCATTCATTTTGAAGCTACAGGGCATGCCAATACGGGCACAAGAAGGAATTAAGGACGCCACAAACACCTTTTTTGATGTCTTGACTTCCTTCTCGTGTCCATGTTTGCGTGTTATGTCTAATTAAATAAAAAATATGAGTTTTGAGAACATAAACGAAAAAACTTTGAAACAGCTGCGGCGCTTACACAAGATGATTGAGCGACTTGAAGTCCACCGCACTTGTGTCTAGTTCCATTGCGGTTTTCGCTCTTGTCGGCTTTCTCGCTAGAAGTAGCCCGCTCTTTTTGTCTGCTTTTTCGCTAGCAGCAGTCCGATTTTTTTATTTGTAGCTTGGTTTTCAGTGTCAGTGGCACGACAACATGCTTTCTGCATTGCAGTGTCGAATACTTGTGAGGCAAGCTCATGCAGTGTGGAGGGCAAGTTCAATGACAACTTGCTACCCGGCATCAAATATGAGTCTGTACAGACATAATTCAATTGACTCACAGCGTCACACAAAGTAAATTTGAGGATCGTCAGGCTCACGCACACCTGACATTGCGAGTTTACAAAGCGAAAGGATTATGACTTATGAAAGGTTAAAAATGATTACTTTTAGTTCCGCTTTCGAATGTAAGGGGAGAGGGGTCTAACACTTTTTTCTTTTATCTGCTGAAAAAAAAAACTGCGTAGACAGAAAGTATATGAAGCGAAATGATGAGCCATCAATTGACAATAATATGGCCAAAAAAAAAAACAGAAATGCATTTTCTCCCAGACCTCATACTTTATTATTTGCACAGGAGAGATCTCAAACACGAGAGTAGCAGTGATATTTTAATAAGGGTCGGACACGCTGTCGGCAACGACAACGAGCTTTTTTAAACTAACATTACAGGGTTCACTAACTCCACCTCGGGCAATGTGCTGGTGGGCGGATATGACGTCATGACGTGCACCAAGGATGCCCGCGAAAGCATCGCCTACTGTGCTCAGGACAACATCCTGTTCGATGACCTCACCGTTGAAGAGCATCTAGTTTTCTTCGCTGTCGTAAGCTTCCTATCACTTGAATGGTTGCATGTAACACGCGGCTCCTGCGTAATCTTCACTGCCACCTTGTCTGCTTGACTGTTCACTGTCATTTCTAGGTTAAGGGCACCCCATACGACAGCGTTCGGCAGGAAGTGGTCACCCTGCTGAACGAAACTGGTCTGATTCAGTACCGCTCTGATCTGGTGGACACGTTGTCCTTGGGCCAACAGCGACGCCTCTGCGCTGCTCTGGCCATCGTGTCCAAACCGAAGGTAGGGGAGAAAATATGCAAACGTTGGGAATGTTGTACACCCTGTATTCAAAACAATTGTGCAGCCAGACATGGTACGATGCATAAGAGCGATTCATTTTATGCTGTATCAGCGCACTGACAATGCGTCATGTCCGGTAGCAACGATTGTACCCGATGGCGTTGTTATTGTTGAAATAGGTTCGTCCTTAACACTTCCCTTCACACTGCTGTAAGCATGAGCAATGCAATGGTACTTAGAGCGCTCATAATACAATGCAGAGGTGTGTAACAGTGCAAAAGCACGTTTGTAGATTCGCTGAATCTTTTCCTGACATACCGTGATATTGGGCTGGGGCTGCACTTCTTCAATTTATTCTTATTGTAAACGATAGCATGCTGAAGTTATGTTTAAGTCTCGATAGAATAATAGCACAGAAACAGTTGTCCACCCCCAGGCATAATTAAAAAAGCACTGATAATTGCTTGGTAAAGCTGAAGATACGATGAAAGTGGCCGCTGTTGTCATAGTGAACTCTATAGCAGCTTTAATACATAAGTAATTCTAATTCAAGGCTATGGAACTCGCTTTAGGCGCACACCACTTTTGTTCATACGTGAAGGTGGTGGACGAAAGTTCGAGGCAGCATCGGAAAAGTGTGTAACAATAGCTGCTTTCGTCCACCACTGTCGCAAATCACATGCGTTCTCATGGGCTTTGCTCTTTAAAAGCCAGCGAAGATGACTGATGCTCACAAAAGAAAAAAGCGTCATCGAAGTGCTATTGCATGAAAGTGTTAAAAACTACACCCATCCAGCACTATTATATAAATCTTTGCCGCCTATCGAAAATTATTACTGGCCTAATGTCTTAGTCAATATTAGATCCTTTGTTCCGTAGTCGCTCTGCCATGTTAGCTGCCAAAGAGGCTGCCAGATTCCAACTGAAGCAATTGACAGCTGAAACGTCAGATATACAAAACTAGCCTAATTAGTCCAGGGAAAACATGCACGCTATAGAGAGAGTTAAAATAGACTTTTATTTGAGAAAACGCATTATGCGCCCAAGGTGGATGACCTCCTTATGAAAAATAGCCGCGGGCCTTCGCCATCGCTCGCACTCGTTGAAACATGCTCCTCTGATTCTTCAGGCCCAGGTCTCATAACTGGGCCTCCCACTGCTTTTCGGTTAGTGTAGTGGCTCCAGAACGTTAATGAGAAGGAGTGGTTGATGATACTCTAATCATTTTATGACTTTCTTTTAACAGTAATAAATATGTCTTTCTAATAAGGTTTTCTTCGCACTTATAGGCTGTGTTTCACTGTAAGGCTAGATTTTCACCTTCAAGTCTATAGAATGGGTGACAGAGGGGAGATGTGAATTCGTGGACTACCGCAACTCTACCAGATTTCATCGGGTGCCATTTTCTTTCCTCGCGGGCTTAATGTTATCATAACTATGGCGTGTCACTGACTAAATAGCAGTAAACAACTACCCAGGTGATCATCTTGGATGAGCCCACGGCCAACATGGACCCGGAGGGCCGCCGTGAGATGTGGGAGCTTCTCCTTAAGATTCGTAGGAGCTGCGCGCTATTCCTCACGACCCAGCATCTTGATGAAGCAGACGTCCTGGCTGACCGCATACTCATCATAGTGAATGGCAGAATTCGGTAGGCGCCGCAGTTTTCATTGAATGTTGGGAATCTATGAGTAGCTATACCGTTGTCACGCATGTTACGAACATCCTGACAACACAGCACAGGATGTCTGTAATGTATTGCGCGCATGGTTTTAGAAATGGTAATGTCGCCATTTTGACTCCTTTTACTTCGGGCTGCCACGAAAAAAATGCTTATACTGTGACGATCTTCGTGCCAGAGCTCGAAGCTTCATCATGCATGCTCACGTGCATGCCCATTCTTATAGTTCCTTCTTGGTCTTAAAGGGGATATGGGAGCACTAGAACACTGCTTTCGGAGCTAAGCATACAGTACTTCTTTGTACCACCTTATGGATCCTGGATGCTGCCTCCCCGAGTATTAGACTGCACAGCTACACACCATGCACCCTTGGTGGCTAAGATGGCATGAATTATGTGATTATGGCAGCATTCAGGTCCCGTACAGATGCCTTATTATCTGTTATAGGCCCACATAAGCGTGCGTAGAGTGTGTGAATAAGGGATTTGTTGTTTTCATTTAGCCGAGAATGAAATCACCGAGAAACATTCATACAAGCAGAGCACGCGCAATGAGCTATTCAAATTACCCACTATACCATGCTAGTGAAGCGAACGCTACAGAATGATTTTATGGCACGATTCGCATACACGAACTAAAGATCTTAAGCTTCGTTGCACTGATCGTTTATTGGTGAAAAGGGTAAGGATGCGTACAGTATAGGCACGCTCCGTGCTTGGTGTGGACTGCCCCCTGGAGTTTATTTTTTGCGGCTCTTTCCTTTCAGTCAATAATACAGCATATTGCACGCCTACCACATTATCACATTGTATAATAGTTGTACTAACAATGAACACAACGTTGTTACGTGACAAGTGTCCCTGGAGGACAACTACGAATGAAAGTTTAGCAATTAAGAATCGTTCGGTTGGGGTTGTTTGCATTAGCTATGATTATCTTCGAACATAGGAAAAAACAGAACCAGTGAAAAACCACATGGAGACAGCGAAGAACAACACCACACAGGACAAGCGCTGGTTCTTTTTCGCTGTCTTCGTGTGGTTTTTCGCTGGTTATTTTTTCCTGTTACTACAAACCAACTCGCTCAGAAAGCTGATGATGATGATATGTAGGGTTTAACTTCCCTAAACCACCATATGATTATGAGAGACGTCGTAGTGGAGGGCTCCAGAAATTTCGACCACCTGGGGTTCTTTAACATGCACCCAAATCTTAGCACAGGGGCCTACAGCATTTCCGCCTCCATCGGAAATGCAGCCGCCGCAGCCGGGATTCAATCCCGCGACCGGCGGCTCAGCAGCCGAGAACCTTAGCCACTAGACCACCGCGGCGGGGCTCGCCCTTAGAAGTGTGGCAGCTTGGGCTAGTTGGTATGACATGACGATAGTTATAGCACAGAGACAGGAAGGACACAGAGACAGGAAGGACACAAAGGACACGTGTCCCTCTTGTCTTTGTGTCGTTGTTCTGTTCTCGCGCTATAACTATCGTCGCTCTGAGAGCTACGTAACTGATTATCTTCGAACTCTATATAATCTGAAGTTTGCATAACTAATCAAATGCCAACGCTTCTATAACTCCCACTGACAGAGTTGTCTTTAATAGGTAATTTGCGCCATAATAGTGCTGAAAAAAGGACCTTATTCATTCTAACATTAAGGAGACATTTATTTAGGCACATAAAAATGAAAGCTCGCTGTTTTTGTTTGTCCAGATGCGCCGGCTCTCCGACATTCCTAAAGCAGCGCTTCAACACTGGCTACCGCATGTTAATCTACAAGAGCCCCACTTGCGACGTGTCACGCATAGAGATGCTTCTGCGCAAGTATGCACCTAAAGTGAAACTGCAGAGCGACTCCTTCAACGAGGTCACCTTCCTTCTGGGACATACTCCCTCCACTAAACGCATCATCAACATGTTTCGGGTGAGTTCACCCGACATGTTTGACGCAGTTGTTCGAAGTCTGTATCAAAACTGAGGTTCCCATTGAGCTACAGCTTTGAGAGAAGGTGCTACGGTAATTCCAACAACAGTACCGGGAACAGTGGATCCCCTCTCTCAAGCACATTCATGCGCGATTCGCCACATCACTCAGTGTTCGCTTGGCAGCCGTCGGAGTTGAAGTGTTAATCACCGCTCCCGTCGAGTGCGACGTTTGAGCATTACTTCACTTTCTCCACGCTAGGAAACGGCCACCCATGAAGGTTCATAGGCAAATGACATAGGTTTATTGTGAATAGTGCATGTCCGTTCAGCACGTCCGCAAATTGTACAGGGAGGCAACTTATTGTTGTTGTAGGAAGGCAACAAAGTGAAGTTGTTAGACTCTGTCGTCACGGGAGAATAAACGTGGGTGTTTGATTATACACCAGAAACAAAACAACAATCTCGTCCGTGGCGTCAGTCTGGTTCTGTGCCACCTCCCTTCAAGAGAGACGATCAAGTCTGAGCAGAGGCGATGCGCTTCCTCAATGGGTTGGTGGGAGGCTTCTTTAACTGAGCAATACAAACGCTGGAACGCAATCTTCAAAAGTGTGTCGAAAAATGGAAGCGAGATTGAAAACTAGACAAGTGTGTAAGGTTTTCAATGACGTATCAATTGATAACAATAATAGATTTTATTTGTAAAAATATGGGTATCTTACTTTTGGTACGAAACTCGTGCATTATATAACACAGGCAGCAAGTCAGGGTCACGTTCTAAAGAAAGCAGTCCTTCGATTCATTTTTGCGAGTCCTTACTAGTAGGCTAGATGTGTCGTTAAGAATACAGGTGAGTTCTTTTTGGTATTTTTATGGTATTGTTTAAGAGTTGTACCAACCAAAAGTTTGTTAACGCATCTCCTAAAAGACGTGAAATTGGCGATGAGTAAGGTAAAAACACAGTATACTGTGCTCATGGGAGACTTTAATGCAAAAATAGGCAAGAAACAAGCTGGAGACCAGGCAGTAGGAGATTATGGCATCGGTAGTAGAAATGTCATACGGGAGCTACCAGTAGAATTCGCATAACGCAATAATTTACGGTTTCTGAATACCTTCTACCGAAAGCGAGGGAACCGTAAGTGGTCATGAAGGAGCCCTAATGGCGAAAATAACGAAATAGACTTTATACTGAGTGCACACTCCGGCATCGTGCAAGATGTGGAAGCGCTTGGCAAGGTACGATGCAGTGATCATAGAATGGTACGGTCCCGAATTCGCCTATACTTGAAGAAGGAATGACAGGAACGTATACGCAAGAAGCCAGTTATTGAGCTAGCACTGAGAGGGAAAGTACAAGAATTCAGAGTCACGCTTCAGCACAGGTACTCGGCTCTTATCGAGGAAAGCAGCATTGGCGTTGACGAAATCAGTGATAATATGACGAGTATCATTACGGAGTGTGCGGGGGGTACTGTAGTTAGACAGGACACTGGCTAGCTGTCCTAGGAAACGAATAATCGCATTAAGGAGCGTCAAAGCATGAAAGCCTCAAGTACAACCGACAAAGTAGAGTTGGTAGAGCTTTCTAAGTTGATTAATAAGCGTAATGTATACAACGTAAGTAGGTATGACATGGAGAGAATTGAACACGCTCTGAAGAACGGAGGAAGCGTCAAAGAAGTGATGAGAAAACTTGGGATAGGCAAAACAAAACAACAAATGTATGCACTAAGGGACAAAGAAGGCAAGGTAACTAGCAATATGAATAGGATAGTAAAATTAGCAAGGAAGTTTTACAGATATCTGTAGAGTAGCCAGCACAACCACGACCTTGATATAAGAACTAGATGAAACCCAGATGACACTCCACCAGTAATGATAGAAGTCAGAAAAGCCTTAGAGAGCATGCAAAGAGGCAAAGCTGCTGGTGAGAATCAGGTAGCATCGGATCTGCTGAAAGATGGAAGACAGATTGTGTTAGAGAAACTAGCGACCCTGTTTACGAGGTGTCTCCTGACGGGAAGAGTACCAGAATCTTGGAAGAATGACAACATCATCTTAATACATAAGAAAGGAGATGACAAGGACTCTAAGGATTACAGGCCGATCAGCTTGCGTTCCGTAGTATAGAAGCTATTTATAAAGCTAACTGCTTACAGAATTAAGACATTAGAATTCAATCAACCAAAAAAACAAGCAGAATTTCGAACAGGCTAGTCAACAATCGACCACATTCATACTATCAATCAGGTAATAGAGAAATGCTCAGAACATAGCCAACCACAATACGTAGCCTTCATAGATTACGAGAAGGAGTTTGATTCAGTTGAAATTTCAGCAGTCATGCAGACACTGTGGAATCAGGGCGTCGACGAAGAATATATAAACATCCTGGAAGAAATCTACAGGGGATCAACTGCTACCATAGTATTTCATAAAGAAAGCAACAAACTACCAATCCAGAAGGGTGTAAGGCAGGGGGATACAATATCCCCAATTCTATTTACCGCGTGCTTACAGGAGGTTTTCAGAGGCCTAGAATGTAAACAGTCAGGCATAAGAGTTAATGGAGAGTACCTTAGTAACCTGCACTTCGCCGATGACATTGTGTTGATGAGTAATTTAGGGGACGAATGGCCACTCATGATTACGGGGTTAGACAAGGTGAGCAGAAAAGTCGGTCCGAAAATTTATCTGCAGAAAACGAAAGTAATGTAGAACAACCTCGGAAGAGAACAGCGCTTCGAGATAGGTAACAGTGCACTTGAAGTTGTAAAAGACTACATCTACTTAGGACAGGTAATAACTGTGGAGCCGCACCACGAGATTCAAGTATCTAGAACTATCAGAATGGGGTGGAGCACATTTGGCAAGCACTCTCAACTCATGACTGGTAGATTGCCACTATATCTCTCAAGAGGAAGGTATATAACAGCTGAATATTGCCGGTACCTAGCTACGGAGCAAAAATCTGGACACTTACAAAGAGGGTTAAGCTTAAATTGAGGACGGCGCAGTGAGCAACGGAAAGAAAAATGGTAGGTGTAACCTTGAGCGACAAGAAAAGAGCAGAGGAGATTAGGGAGCAAACTGGGGTTAAAGATATCTTAGTTGAAATCAAGAAAAAGAAATGAACATGGGCTGGTCATGTAGCGCATAGACAGGATAATCACTGGTCATTAAGGTTAACAAACTGGATTCCCAGAGAAGGCAAGCGGGTTAAGGGTAGACAGAAGGTTAGGTGGGCAGATGAGATTAAAAGAGGTTTGCGAGTAGAAATTGGCAGCAGCAAGCATTGGACCGAGTTGACTGGCGGAACGTGAGGGGCGTTTGTCCTGCAGTGGACGTAATCAGGCTGATGATGATGATAATGATATCCGTGACAAGTCGTAGTTCCACGAAAAGAGTAACACATACTTTGTTTATCTTTAAAGGAGCAAAGTGAATGACTTCATGCGCACACCCCATTTGACTAAAAGCACTGCCAGCCACCCCTGTGTTTTTGTAGGCAATCATTTTTAGTATGCGCGTTTTATCCCTACACTTACAACATATTCGGCCCCCTTCCAAGTTGCAGAAGTAGACGTTGAACGCAATAGCGGAAATTTGTTTAAATTGCTTCCTTATCTCCCCCATCATTTTCTAGATGCGACCAAGCGTCAAGTGGAGTGCAGTGAATCAGAGAAAAATATTATAATCTTTCAACGTTACAGGACATCGAAAAGCAGAGCAGACACTTGGGCATCGAGTCGCTGGGCTTGACGGTGACCTCACTCGAAGACGTCCTCATAGGTGTCGCCGAAGAACACCACGTGCACAGCCATAAGCTCACCGAGACCATCAAGCAGCATGATGCGTCCATGATCGAAACCAAGGGTTGGTCTTACACCATGCGCAGCTTTTTTCTTAAGTAATTGCAAAATTTCAGCCTGCTGTTGCTTACCTACGAGCTGGACGAAAGTTTATATTGCTTTGAATTTGTGTGTAAAAATAACGTTTGTGAAAACGTGGCAACCGAATGAAAAAAATAACTATAAGAAAACGGTCAAACGTATGACTTAAGTGTTGTAGTTAATTTCAACTAAGAAATGGGCCCGAATTACTCACGGACTACAGTATACAGCTCCTGTACAGTATTAGTGCGTCCACGTCCACCTTAGGTGAACGCCACAAAACTGCTAGATTTGAACAATTAATCCATTTTTGGCGATGCTTTTTCTGCGAATGCCGCAATGACACGTAACTGATTTAAAATTTCCAAACAATTTTTAGATTATAATATACAAGTATACTAAGCGATAAATATTAACAGCTATGTAGTGAATGATAGTTGTTGTTATCAAATCACTCCAACTTCTAAATCAGGGCTTATTTGTGGGGGAGATTCACGACTTCTGCTTTCTCGAAGTGTCGCTTTCTTTTCCTGTGATCATTCCTCTGTATGGCGCAGTACCATGGCAACTTTTGGGATAAGATATTTATTCTATTACTTTTTTTTGGAGCGAAAATACGTATTGAGTCTGTAGTGACGCTTCATCGCTTGCCCAATCGATCTGGTCAAACAAAACAATATTTAAGACAGAAATCTTGATTTTATCATCAAGTGTGCTCCTCCATCTATCAAGTGTCACCGGTTGTGACTCAAGGAACAAAATACAAAGACTGTGTAATTGCCAACGGTCATGAATGCTTTAAGAATCATGAGGGGCGGTACTCATAAGGGAGCATAGCTTGAAATCATCATGCCTGGAATTAGTGCTCTTCCATGAGATGAAAACTGATGATAAATGGAGCGTTATGGCACAAGGGCCAATAACATGAAAACTGGTTAAACTGCCAACGGAAACGTGCAGACATAAAGACATGGTTCTGTGCTGTAAGCAGCCTTTCAACATCTTTTAAAAATATAACCTAAAAAACTGATCCGGTGTAGTAAAACGAAATTTTGAGCGTTCTTAGCTCATGTACACGCTTTCTGCAAGAGCGATTCAATTTTTTCAATGAAATATTTGCTGCGCTACTGAGATTAGCATGGAATAAAGGAGGAGACAGGTTAGGGTGTGAGACTCGGTTATTTCTTCACATCACCGAAATATACATGATTCCAGATTGCGCACAAGGATGGAGCGCTGCACAAGTGACTATCACATTGCATTAAAGAAAAGATGACGAGTTTCTTGCATTTTTAAGCACCTTTAACACTGTGACTCCTTGTGACGATGCCCCACCGTGGTGGTGTAGTGGCTGACGTGCTCGGCTGCTGATGCGCAGGTCGCGAGATCGAATCCTGACTTTGGCGACTGCGTTTGCCAATGGAGGCGGCAATGTGGTAGGCCCGTTTGTTCAGATTTAGTGCCCTTAAAGAATTCCAGGTGGTCGAAATTTTCGGAGCCCTCCACCACGGCGTCTTCTGATAATCACATGGTGGTTTCGGGACGTTACATTTCACATATCAATCAAATTCTCGGGACGATGTAAAGAAAGTTTTATCTGCTTTTATACAGCACGGTAAAGGCTTGACGTTTACGGATGAGCTACCTCATGACGATTATTCAAAGTTTTTTTCATTACCTGTCATTAAGCGCTACACATTCGTCCCCATGCACGGAAGACGTCCTCATAGGTGTCGCCGAAGAACACCACGTGCACAGCCATAAGCTCACCGAGACCATCAAGCAGCATGATGCGTCCATGATCGAAACCAAGGGTTGGTCTTACACCATGCGCAGCTTTTTTCTTAAGTAATTGCAAAATTTCAGCCTGCTGTTGCTTACCTACGAGCTGGACGAAAGTTTATATTGCTTTGAATTTGTGTGTAAAAATAACGTTTGTGAAAACGTGGCAACCGAATGAAAAAAATAACTATAAGAAAACGGTCAAACGTATGACTTAAGTGTTGTAGTTAATTTCAACTAAGAAATGGGCCCGAATTACTCACGGACTACAGTATACAGCTCCTGTACAGTATTAGTGCGTCCACGTCCACCTTAGGTGAACGCCACAAAACTGCTAGATTTGAACAATTAATCCATTTTTGGCGATGCTTTTTCTGCGAATGCCGCAATGACACGTAACTGATTTAAAATTTCCAAACAATTTTTAGATTATAATATACAAGTATACTAAGCGATAAATATTAACAGCTATGTAGTGAATGATAGTTGTTGTTATCAAATCACTCCAACTTCTAAATCAGGGCTTATTTGTGGGGGAGATTCACGACTTCTGCTTTCTCGAAGTGTCGCTTTCTTTTCCTGTGATCATTCCTCTGTATGGCGCAGTACCATGGCAACTTTTGGGATAAGATATTTATTCTATTACTTTTTTTGGAGCGAAAATACGTATTGAGTCTGTAGTGACGCTTCATCGCTTGCCCAATCGATCTGGTCAAACAAAACAATATTTAAGACAGAAATCTTGATTTTATCATCAAGTGTGCTCCTCCATCTATCAAGTGTCACCGGTTGTGACTCAAGGAACAAAATACAAAGACTGTGTAATTGCCAACGGTCATGAATGCTTTAAGAATCATGAGGGGCGGTACTCATAAGGGAGCATAGCTTGAAATCATCATGCCTGGAATTAGTGCTCTTCCATGAGATGAAAACTGATGATAAATGGAGCGTTATGGCACAAGGGCCAATAACATGAAAACTGGTTAAACTGCCAACGGAAACGTGCAGACATAATCACATGGTGGTTTCGGGACGTTACATTTCACATATCAATCAAATTCTCGGGACGATGTAAAGAAAGTTTTATCTGCTTTTATACAGCACGGTAAAGGCTTGACGTTTACGGATGAGCTACCTCATGACGATTATTCAAAGTTTTTTTCATTAACCTGTCATTAAGCGCTACACATTCGTCCTGACTATACAGCCCCCATGCACGGAATACCTCCTACCTTATGATTCTGCACCCGTGAAAACCACGAAAACAGCTGTGGGATTCTCTGTTCACGAAAGACGGATATCAACATGACAGACATCCATTTTAGATGCAGTAGGCCCGTGTGTTCAGATTTGGGTGCCCGTTAAAAAACCCCAGGTGGTGAAAATTTGCGGCGTCCTCCACTACGGCGTCTCTCATAACCATGTATACTTTTGAAACGTTAAAGCCCACATATCAATCAAATCAAATCAACAGGAAAACACAATTGTTTATTCGATCTATAGGAAAAGCATCACATGGAACACACCGACGCCACGCTATTCAGAAGTATTGTCAGAAGTAACCGAGAAATGAATGAACCGAGCTTGGCAGCTTAGGTTTTATAATCACTAGTGGTGACGTAAGCCAGTGATCAAGCGGCGGTGGAACTGTCCCTTATCGTAAGCGTATTGCAGGAAGTGGCCGTGTCACGCCGCCCTAACCACAGACGAAACGTGGCTGCGCAGATTTCTGCACAGTATTTGCACAGAGCCACTGCGACATTGTGTCGGCGGTATGTGTTGTTGAAGTCGTGCAATCCCCCCGTGAAGGACAGTTGTCAGGAGCTGCTTTCAAAGCTGGTTTCAGCAGGTTTTCCTTTGGGGGCCATTACCACGGTGTCCGAATTTCTGGTTCAGAAGCTTAAATGGTGCAGCAGGAAGCACGAGGCTGTGCAGGAAAAGAAACCACGGGTTCCGCCCACAATTTGAAAAAATAATGTTCCAAACAGGCGGGACGTTTCAGTGGTATTCTAGGCCCCCAACTAGCTCTTGGAGCTCTGTGCCCGCATTCCCTGTATTTGGTGTTCCATCTATCGAGAATAGAGGAGCCGCTGCAGCGAAATTTCGCAGTTTTGCCCTTGCACGCTCAAGTGCGACTAAGTATGAATTGAGAAAGCTTTTTGCTGCGCCGACGTGCTTAGTATAGATGCGCACGACCATGTGTGGACTTGCCATTTCGTTGTGCTTCGTGCGGCTGCGCACCACTGTTTGGACGAACTCCTTTGATAGAATGAACCAGGCAGACGTTAGCAGGCGAAGTACTAGATGCATATCAGATACAGATGATGGGGAACGAATGCGTCAGTGGCTCGTCGATCATTTTGTACAAGAAAGAATTCCTATTTCTAGATAGCACTGTGCTATAGCTTTGCTCCATTTTAGCACAGAAGAGGCTGACAAGGACAGCGCTTTCCTCTTCTGTCCGCCCGTTTTTTAGTGCGCTCTACCAAAATTTTCAAATATGAACGTAATCCAACTGGCCCAACTTGCCATCTTTCCTTTAGCTTGTACAGAATGACTCCGTTCATTTTATATTGACCAATTATAACATAACGACGAACATTTGAACCATGAAAACTTTTCTTGCACTCCCTTCTTTAGAATCTCGCAGAAAAGTCGCCCGTTCAACTCTATTTCATAAGATATACCATCATTCAATCTTGCATGACCAACAACTACTTCGGCCACAGCACATCTCCCGCCGCATTGACCACTATCACAATGTAGGTATCCCTTCATGTAACACAAAAACTTTCTTCAATTCATTTTTGCCTTGCACATCAAAGTTGCACATCAAAGGAGTGGAACAGACTTCCCGGAGACATTGTTGCTATTAGCAATAACAACTTTTTCGTGTTTCATTAGCTAACATTGTGAAATAAGTTCTTTTTGTTGCAATAGCTAACATTCTATAATTAGGTTAGGTGTTGTATTACCTAACATGTATTATTATCTAGTATATTAGCAGACATTGTACTTTTAAGAGATATATTTGTACGACCTAAGCATATTGACTGCTTTTTGTTCATCTAATATTTTTAATGTAAATAGCCCACCCACCCTCTTTATTGCCATATGGCTCTGAGGGTAAAATAAATGAATAAATAACTAAATATTAATCAAATAATTAGGAAAATATAACCGTTTCTGCAATCTGTAGTAAAAGCATCAGATCGAACACATTGACGCCACGCTTGTCAGAAGCAACAGAGCAATGATGAAACCGAGCCAGGAAGCTTATGTTTTATAGCAACTAGTGGTGACGTAAGCCTCCGATGAAGCTGCGGTGGCACTGTTCCTAATCGGAAGCGTGTTGCAGCAAGTGGCCGTGTCACGCCGGCCTAACCAGAGGCGAGACGTGGCTGCGCAGGTTTGTGCACAGTGTTTGTCACAGAGCCCCTGCGACAATGTGTCTGTGGTCTGCGTTGTTGAAGTCGTGCGAGTCCACAGTGAAGGACAGTTGTCAGGAGCAGATTTCAAGGCTGTTTTCAGCCGGTTTTCCTTTTGGGGGCCATTACCACAGTAATTTGAAAAAAAAGTTCCAAACAGGCGGGACGTTTCAGTGACCTTCTCGGCCCCCAATTAGCTTTTGAAGCTCTGTGCCTGCATTCTCTGTATTTGGTGTTGCATCTCTTGAGAATAGAAAAGCCGCCTCAGCAACATTTTGCAGTTTTGCCCTTGCACGCTCAAGTGCGACTGAGTACGAATTGAGAAAGCACTATGCTCTATGCTGCGCTGATGTACTTAGTATAAATGCGCACGACCATGCGTGGACTTGCCATTTCGATGTGCTTTGTGTGGCTGTGCACCACTGTTTGGACGAACTCATGTGATAGGACGAAGCAGGCAGACGTTAGCACGTGAAGTACTTGATGCAGATAAAAGGGAACGAATGCGTCAGTGTCCCGTCGATCACTTCGTACAAGAAAGAACGCCTATTTCTAGATCGCGCTGTGCTATAGCTTTGCTCCGTTTTTATGCAATGTGAGCGTTGCTTGTGCTGCACCTCCTCTTTGCGCGCCTTCTGGAAGCATGTATGATTGGGTGATGTGAGTAAAAAATAAGCGAGCTGCCCGGCGCTCAACTTCGTCGACGCCTTTTTTTCCTGCTTAGCTGAGTTGCGCGACAAATATTTTATCAAACTGTGCCAAAGTCCCAACGTCCCAAAGTTCTAAAATGATTCTGTTTCTTTCATTCGGGCACATAGCGTTCCTAACCGTGGTATTGTGATTTTGGGGCAGATATACACAGCAATTAGTCGATTCATCATTGCTTGAAAAGGTCAGGCTATACAGGAATCAATCCACAAATTCTATTCCGCCTTCTTGCAGGCACCTTAGTAAACGTAATGGCGAGCACGGTCTCCTCGAATCCGGGATGCGCACGCCGCATGTGGGCGGTGTTCTGCAAGCGAGCCACCTGCGTCTCGCGGCAGCTCAAGATCCCGCTCTTCAGTTGGCTGCTGCCCATGATGCTGCTCTGGCTGCTCTTCACTTTCGAGGACGTGGCACTGTACCGGAACGCCATCGTTGCCGAACACGTGGGCAACACGCTCTCCTACAGCTTCGTCGAGCTTGTCGGCAAGGCCAACGTAAGACTATTTATCAGCGTGGTCCTTTGTTAGTTTTAACTAACACGCCAAGGATGACAAGGTGCATTCGACAAAGATAGGTCCTCCTATCGAAACGTTGGCCAGCCTGTTTGAGGCAAATCCACTGCTCACCCTGATTATCCCACTACGCGTTTCCATTTGTTGTCTCCCATCTAGATTCTGAAAAACAAAAACAAAATTGGGAGCACGCTGTTGAATGTGTGTTTAATTCATTGCTTCTAATAATATATCAACAAATGAAGACATGCTGATCAGCATAACAAACAGTATCGTGGTCATTTTTTGTTATTAACTATTATTCTCTCTGTATTAGGTGTTCCATCTCTCGAAAATAAAGCAAACGCCACAGTGAAATTCAGCAGTTTTGCCCTTACACGCTCAGTGTGACTGAGTACGAACTGAGAAAGCGCTATGATGCGCCGACGTACTTGGTATAGATCCGTACGACCATGCGTGGACTTAAGTATGGTATATACACAATACTGGAGATAGTTCAGCGATGCCGACGTCCAAGGACCTCGTCTTATGATAATTATATACCTTCCTATTACGAAAAAGCAATGCACGCATGCAAGGCGATCAAATGAGAAGCATTTTTGCCTTTTATGCTGTCTTTATTTAGAACAGACAGTCTTGTCATTCAATCTCGAACTGACTAAACCAACACAGGACGTGCAATTGCTAGGTCTCGACTTTTAGATGCGAGGCATAAACGGAGCGTTTTGCATGAATAGCTAGAAATTCTGACATTACGAATGGATCGACGTTTTTTCTAGTGTTAATAAAAACATCCCATTTTGTATTTAGTTAGGTGAGTTCTGCATGCTCAACGCAGAAAAGCGAATGTATTCCTTCGGTCCTATTTACTTGTCATCTTTATCTCGTTCGAGTGGCTGATCCCAGCAATGTTGAGTTTCTTTCTGAGACATCTGTACAAATAACAACGTTGTTTTACTGAAGCATACTGGGAAACGTAACCGTCATATTTCTGAAAACAGGAATACAAAACAAATTTCATAGCAAAAATACATTGCCAACTTTTTTTCGAATGAACCCACATTTTCTACAATCTGCATTCAGGTTACCTTAGGTGGGTTAGGATTGCCTGCCTAGGTAGTAGGTTTAGCATGACTGAAAGAAAGGGATCTTCTCTCTGCTCTCTGCCTGTGTCTCACAGAAACAGGTGAACGCACACAAACTGCGCGGACGAGCAAGTAGTGTAGCGAATATTTCACCTTGAAAAACTCACCCAAATCGTCTACTTCTACGCTCTACAATTTTTTCCTGCTTTGATGAATAACAACTGCGCGTTCGATGTGTTCATAAGCCTTTTGTACGCATTTAACAAGATAGTAATGAACGTAACTGTGTCCCTCTTTGTTTTCATTCACGATCACGGTGCGGCGGCCCCAAATCAGTGTATGACAGGCTAAGCCAAGTCATAAACACACAGCTTCTAATCAGTGGGTTCGTAGTCCCTTCCTCGTGTCCCAATTTGAAGCGGCTTTTTCTGTCTCACCTTGCGTTGTCTAGCGAGGAACGTGAGAGACGCGAATGGAGCCGGCGTGTCCGTGTCGATTTCGCCACTATTATTCGAACCCAGCCAAAGCAGAGCAGCTGAGGCTGCCGGTGGTCAGTTCGCCAGCAGCGTGCTCGTTCTTTTTGCTTGAACGCATCTCGAGCTCTAACATGAGTTGCACGAGTTATGCGTAATATGAGGTAATATGTCGATGTTGAAGAGCATTATGACAATGGTGGTAAATTGAAATGATGACGCCATAGCTTTAACGGGTGGTTCTAGTGGCTTCGTGCCACACACTGTGAAACATTGGAATGGGTTGGTGTAAAATGCAATGAAAGAGGCATTTTAAAGATCATATCAAAGACGACCCAGGTACTGGCGTAGGGCTCAACTTGGTGGTACATGCACCATCCCTTGCTTCACAGCACAGCAGGCGTAATACAATAGTACAGATGTAATTCTATAGTCGTCGTTCTCTAAATTTTAACGTTTATTCATTTATTTATTATCTACAGGGCCCACATGGATTACCTAGAATAGGGCATTACGTACGTTCACAAGAATAAAAGTAGTGATTTTTTTAATAGAATAATACCTACATTATGTAATACATTGGTAATACTACAATATTACACACTATGTTAGCCAATAAATTTATATAAGGACATTTGAAAAAGAGGAAAAAGGAAGAAAAATAGAAGTAACATCGTGAAGCACTAAAAAGGGAAATAGCGCCATACATGGAAGAATATGAAACATAGCAGTTACGATTTGTTCACCAAACACAGCAAAAAAGAGTTGTGAGGTCACTGGTAAAGTACGCATCAAAACTACAGTCGTTAACTTCAGCCCTTAAGGCGGTAAGACAATTCCACTTTTTCAATGTACTCAGTGAACAAATTAGGTAATGCGCGAGTCTGCATGATGAAAGTTCTCGTGTACTTCATGTGTGCAGCAAAGAGAGAGATATATCTGCAAGCGACACTGTTAGACGCAGTTTTTCTGCCGCTGCCATGTTCCAAACAAGTCCAAGTGATTACCATCTTCCGGCATGATGTGCTTTGTGAAAGCAGCGAAGCTCTTCCGACGAATATGGCTCGAACGGTGATGAAATGAGCCTGGTGTCTCCGCCGTGCGAAAGAAGCATGAAGGTTGCTGAAAAAAGGGGTGGGTAGAGACGCCTTTGTTGAGGACCACAGCCAGTAAGGTTGCTCTAGCCTCCCCCGCAATATTTATGAAGGTGGTGTTCTAGTGAAAAGAAATACTAAAGATACTGAGAATCAGTATTTTTTTTAGAGAGTCGAGGTTTCTAGCTTGTGTCCCCCTCTACCGAAAAATTTTCTAGCCACGGATTTGCCTGTCACTCCGGAACAAAGGACATCCATTTACCATCTGGGTGGAGTCACCTGGGGTAGCGCACGCCCTGTCTTTACAGGTTCTAAACAACGGTTCATACTTTTGTGCGTGTCGAGTTCTCGTCGCCAAGATCGTTTTGAATTCAAAAGTAGCACGAACGCTGCGCCATTCAATGCAGCGGCTGTGTTTACCAGCGGTGATCAAGGGGTCACGGCGCTCCACAGCTGACTTAATTGCAGGTCATACGATTGAATCATGGCCCCGCAGCTGCGTTTTCTATGAAGGTGAAAATGATTCAGGCCCATGTAGTTGTAGACTTAGATGTACTTAAATATAAAACCCCATATGAACAAAATTTCTGGAGCTGTCCTGTGACTTAATACGAATGGCTCACTGCAGAAAAGTCAAAACTCCAAATTCTAATTAGGAGAAGTCAAAAACAAGCGCTAGGTTTGCCTTGAAACATCAGCACTTAACTCCCCCTTCAACTGGGTTTACATTTACCCTTGAGGAATTTATCGAGGCACAACAAATTTTCCGATTCAAGTGATTAGCCAAGAGTAAGCCATGATTGGCCAGATTCTACCCTATCTCAGAATTTCTTACCACATTTTACACAGAGACAAACATAAGATACCACCCACTATCCGTGCTGAGCTCATAGTACCACACATACTAAAAAACATGCACCCTGAACACGACAAAAGCAGACTTGTCAGTAGAGCCAGAGCCAAGTTCAAGATTTTTGGGCTCAACCATGAGGTGGTCTTTGTCGACGCAGCACGCTACCAAGAACGTCACCGCTTCGCGGCTGCTGTCGTAGATCACTAACAACAATGCAAAAGCAGCGCATCAATCATCTCACGATACGTAGAAACGGCAGAGGAAGTGACCATCTCGATGGTCATAGACCACATGAAGTCTCATATGTGATAAAACGACTCCCTGGTGGCCGTTCGAAACTACGCCAGTGGCAGAATCTCCCCCGAGGCATTGCGGATTCTTAGTACAGGCAAAATTCACGAGGCGGACAAACGTGTAGACATTGTTTGGTTCCCAGCCCACATACCTCTAAGTAACCCGGTCGTCAGTCCGAATGACGTGGCTTACAACGTGGCTTGACATCTATACTTTCCCAATCGCGTTAGACGAAGTGGCCACGCAAACGAACTTTTCTGCGCTGGTATGGGAATGGGACGATCGGTTCACTAAATTTTGTGACATATCTCAACACTACCGAATGCAAATGCGGAAGTACCCTCCACCTCACGCCAACCTAAATCGGGTTCAGTCCGTTCTGTGGCGGCAGCTACAAACACGCACACACACGAACCCCGTAGTCATGCACCACGTATATCCCAAAATCTATAACACTAATCTATACCAGTACTGTACCTGCAGAGCCACTTTGTCCATATCCTATGAAAATGTCCAGAATTAATCAGCGATGCTTAAATTGCAACCTCCAATGAAAACATTCGGGCGCGTTGGCGGACTGCACTGCTAAGTTGGGGCCAAGGAAGCAGCCGGGAGACACGGCCTCTTCCTTAGCTTCTATATAGGTGGGAACTCCACCCAGCAATCTGCCGGAAATTATTAAACAGTACCTCGCTCTCTATGAGAGTGTATTCTACAACCAAACAAAGTTTTTGGGACGTTAAACTCGATCAATTATCATGACTTAGAAGCAAACGAATAGCCTTACTTCGTAGAACATTCCAATTTGTTGCTATCGCGTTTATTGATGTACCTGTGCGGCAAACATATTGTCGCTCTGCAGGGGTTCGCACAAGTTAGAGAAGATGGAGTGTTCTACGTCGACTACATACTGCCCTTAATAAGGCCAGGCGTAACCACCGTAGAGGTCATCCTTCCTGACGAAAACGTGGACGAGTGGCTGCTCCAGTTGGCCAAGGACGATTTGCGTCATTACGTCTTCATGACGCACTTTGGCGTGCAGCTGCTGGAACAAGGAAGGTACCACCGTCAGGTCACTAAGCTACCACTGCGAAAAATTGTTCAGAATAAGCGATAGGCACGAATCGGCAAAGCGAAGGACGCTGCACTTCATTAAGTGTTATTAGCAGTAGCGGCAGCGAGTTACATTTTTTTGTGCTTCTTCCAAACACATCTAATTGATAGCTTACTTCAGGTTTTGCGGATATTGACGAAATGTGCTTAAGAGAAATAAAATTGCTATGATATTGATACTTATACTTTATGTAAAGGTATTTTACATAAATATAATTTCGAAGCATATGTCTCAGTAGGATAAGGGCCAGTTAATTGTCAGGATACTTATTAAAACTCATTGAAACAGCAGGTGGTTTTCATGACAGCAGCTAGCGTCGCTTCGCCCCCTGCAGGCTGAGAATATGGCAACCTCGATCTTTTTCTATGTGGCTTCTGCGATCCGCTTCAGCAGTGCGACGAATGGAGAAGCACAACATTTCAATATAAGCGTATCGTGTTGTGTTCGGCGTTACTATTAGGTGATTACACTCTGAAACCGGCAAGTTTTCCGCTAGCGCCGTATCTTGAAAGCAGTCGCTTAGTAATTGTTTCCATTGAGCCCATCAGCACACCATACCTCCATTCGTATTTTCATTTAGGACACTAATTATTGAGGATTCTGATCACCCAAACGCTTCGTCATTTCACGATCCTCTCAGAACGGTTCTCTGGTACAACGGCGAGATCCAGCACATGGCGCTATTGGTACTGACGCTGTTCAACAATGGGCGCCTGCACTTCATCACCGGTAAAACTGACGTGCTGTTCAGCTTCGAGGTGACTGTGCTCGACAGCGCCAATGTGGGTGGTGAAGGAGAGCACGGGGAGAGCCATGGCGCCTATCGAGAGCTGCTGCCTCAGATCCTGCGCTCCATATTTTTGCCCATGGTGTCCAGCCTGATGTGCAGCAATTTTGTGCTTTTTCCGATCACCGAGCGGGCACTGCAGGTATAGCTTGCCAAACTTTTATTTTTTTAGGGGGAACGTGGCAATAAGAATGATTAATTTGGTCAAAATGTAAAATTTTTCAATTTATCTTTTTCTGCAATCCTGAGACCATGTTTGTTTATTGCATGGGGATTTATTAGACCAACGTAAGTAAGGTAAGTCAAGAAAAAAAAGCATTTTATTAGTGTGCTCTCATCAAAAACAATGACAAAGTGGAGCTTTGGAAAATGAGTATCTGCAGCTTTCCTTTAGCACACAGTCACCATACTAAGCATAATTAACATAATTGTAGAGAGGAGATATTCGAGCTCCAGATAGCATTAACGATGCGTTTCTACAATAAAAATAGACCCTGCTTTTTTCCTATATTGGTTTTCTTAGCCTCTAGCTCCAATTTCTGAGACCTGCATTTTCTCAGCTTCCATTTTCTGAGCAGTTTCTGTCAATGAACCCTGAGCCATTCCACATCATATGAAGATATAGCCATTCTGTTTTCTTCACCTACTTCCTAAGGCATTTGTGAGTACCATAAAGCTTCCCACATATAGGTGCACATCGTACAGAGTTTTATATTTGGCTTGTTGTGAAAAGTCCGAGCAAGAAAATATGTAGAAAACTTTAAAAAATTTATGTGTCTCTTTGAATATAAAAAAAGCAATAGTATCATGGCACAGCACAAGCCCTTGTGAATATTATTATGTAAAAATTTCATCACATTGTTTTCATAAATGATAAAGACCTTCATTGCAGCTTGCCCCCTAATTTTTACCGTCTTACATGACAATGCGTGTGAGACACTGCTGAACACATGACATTTTTATATATTGCTTGTCTAAGTATGAAGTGGACACAATATTTTTCAAGCAGCGCCTTCCTAGTAACGCGTTTCAATTTCGTTTAAGATAATGAGTATTAGTATGTAGTGCTTTACACGCCTTTAGTAGGCCTAGAAGACGTGAACAGAAACAGTCTTCTACGGCACAAAACTCATTATATGTCCCCACAAACGTTTAAAATGAAGAACACCTTGTGATGATGGTTATGTGCAGGCGACGAAGAAGCGTCTTATAAATGCCCGAAGTATTTATTTCGAAGGGCAAACCACACCCACAGCCACCACGTTTCCGAAGTTCGAATAGTTTAACGTCCGAAAACCGTGGTATCATTAAGACAAATTCTGTAAAGGAGGGCTCTTTCGCCCAGAATATCTGAACTTCCTAAAGCCAAGTGCATGGCCCTACGGCGTCTGGACTTAACTGAAATACAACTACAGCGGGTGGAATTCAACCCTCACGTTTTCTTCGTCTGCATGAACGCAGTTTATTCGGGATGCAGAATGCTAATGGGACGTGACCGAAAGGCTGATTTTGGACATACCACTTGTATTCAGTGTGCTTTGCTGGTGAAACAGCGATCGGTCAGCTGCATTAAATTACAAGCCTCGGTAATGCAGGCTGTAAACATTAACTAACAAAAGAGTGCTCTTTATTTTGTGTATCTGCCATATTGATGTCTAGGTGAGGCTCGGCGTTTTACTCTATGGGTACTCTAAAGAGCGAGGAGCAAATACACCTTAATGAAAAAAAGTACTTGAGGTCAGACCTTATATACACCGATTCTATAGTGTTTGACTGAATGGCTGTATTAAGGGAAATCGACAAGGTGTGGTGATTTGTTGTGACTTGGCTTGACATGACAAGATTCTGTGATACCCCGCGAAGTTCTGCAAGAAAACTTTGAAATAGCATTGATTGCTCCAACTTTGTGGGATCTCCGCGCTCAAAACACGTGCATTCGGGATGCTGAATGCTGATGGGACGTGACCGAAAGGCTGAATTCGGACATACCATTTGTATTCAGTGTGCTTTGCTAGTGAGCGATCGGCCAGCTACATTAAATTACAAGCCTCGGGAATGCGGTCTTTTAATCCATAAGCTGTCCAGATTACTGGAAGGGTAAATTAGGCTACTTCTTTAGGAGTTAAAGATATGTCCCTGCGTCGAAATAATTTTAGAGGTTCGGATGAACAGCACTGCCAAAATGTGAGATAAAGAGCCTGCAAGTAAAATATAGTCGGTATAATTTAGCGTCAAGCGCGTAAGCTGGCCCCCAAGGACTACGCTAAACAGTTTTAAAAGTTTAAAAATTCGAAAAAAAAATCACAGGTTCACCCGGGTGGTGCAGACACAAAAAAGCTCTACACTGTATGTTGGTCATATTTTCTATGTATACTTCAACGTTTTGCTTTGCGAAGGACACAACACGCACTTTCAAACTTACAGAGCAACGACGCATTGTTGCAATCTTAGAGAGCGGTCGTGCCCAGCCCTAGCTAGACTGTGAGGTTCGCAGTTACGGCGAATACGTGCCCATTGTTTCCCACTTACAACTAATTCTGCTAACAGGGTGTTTCGCTCGGCTTCGGCTACACTGTATAGATCAGTGCCTGAAGCTTTATGCGTTTCTCCTCGCTGGAAGTGCATTTAAAGCTTGCTTCATTATTTTTTACTCACAGGTAAAGCACCTGCATATTATTACGGGAATCGGGCCGTTCCTCTACTGGATCACCAATTTCGTCTGGGATTTTATGTTTTACATGGGCACCGCCATTTTCATCTTGCCGCCCATTGCTTACTTCCACGCCGACTCGCTGGATTTCAACTACATTCGTAAGTCCTCGAGTTACGTAGGTTAAGGTACACCTTCACCCACACGCCCATAGGGCGTCTTCGCTCCTCTTCATGTCTTTGGCAATAATTCAAATGTAGTCTAGATAAGCATAACCTCCACATGCAAGAAACTTTCGTCGATTATGAGTGGTTGTTGTGTCTATAAGTTAAATGCGGCTGCCCGAGTCAAAGGCGGTTGTTCTACCACACACGCTATGATGTTTTGTGCCCATATTTCCGGGTAGAAGAGAGTTAACGTACATTTGCCTTTCAGAAGGTTCGTTTATTTAATTGTATGTATTTGCGCACAGTGGCATTTTGGTTATAAGGCCAAATAGCATTATAATAAATGCGAAGAGTTTCTTAGCGAACTTCAGCGACTTTAAGCGAATCTATATCTATCTATCTATCTATCTATCTATCTATCTATCTATCTATCTATCTAGCCGCTTACGTTGTAGGGCACTCGTGTTCACCCCCTTAACTTGGCCTGAACCAAAATTAGCATGGAAGGGTAAGATGGTTTGACGAATACGAAGCGCTGCTGAAGACCTCAATAAAGTCACAATTTTGTCACTTACGTCGTCAAACACGTCCCGTCAGACAGTGGCACATTACCCACGGGCGGGTATGTGCCGCTGGTGTGTGGGTTTGTGCCACAGGTGATTGACACTTAGTGTCTACCGAGGAACGACGCGAACACACATGGGCAATTTTAACGTGCGAGCGTTAAAATATATCCGAAATCGGTAGCGTCAACCCCACAAATGCAAAGAATAAATATCAGGGTCTCAGCTGGAATCGAACCCAAGCATTCTGCATTGCAATGAAGCATTTTACCACAGAGCTACGCTAGTTCTCGGAAATACTTTTCAAATAGACGTTAATCTTCATGAAACGCCAATAGTGGTTGCAGTGCTGCCTACCCAATTAACATTACACATGTGCTCCTTTCATCTCTCCGTCACGTCGGGTTAACGTTAATTGTGGTTGCCATCCGCTGAAGTTGATTCATGTGGCAGTGTTCAGGGCCAGCATCCTCGCGAACATCAGCGCTTCATATCAGCTTCTGGTGTTGCTAATGCGTATGTTCCAGTTGGCATCGTTGCGCAAGTGCAAATAACTGCTTATATAAACATCTGCAACTCTTTAACATGTCTGTGCGTGCAATGTTTGCACATTTATTAAGAGTCACTTCATGACATGTCAAACAATAATATTGCAACGCAGTCACCTTACCTCCGCATGCTTCGCATAACGTCGATTCCCAGGTGCATGAGATCTGCCATATTTTTTATATTAAAATCTAGATGAAATTCTATAAATAAATATTAAAAAAGAGACCTTTATTCAGGCGATCCATTGAGATGCATATTTCACATACGTGGTCGTAAGTTCATTTTGCAATTATTTGCACTAGTGGCCAAGAAAAAGCAAGTTACATTGTGCAAAAAGATGAAAGTCACTTATTGCGTAGCCATTTTTTATGTGCTTCGTAAGCTTACAACTGACCACTTAGGATGTTCGACAGCTATTTCGCTGCCCCGCCGCGGTGGTCTAGTGGCTAAGGTACTCGGCTGCTGACCCGCAGGTCGCGGGTTCGAATCCCGGCTGCGGCGGTTGCATTTCCGATTGAGGCGGAAATGTTGTAGGCCCGTGTGCTCAGATTTGGGTGCACGTTAAAGAACCCCACGTGGTCGAAATTTCCGGAGCCCTCTACTACGGCATCTCTCATTATTATATGGTGGTTTTGGGACGTTAAACCCCACATATCAATCAAATCAGCTATTTCGCCGTGACACGTTCCAAGACCACAGTCAAAAGTTAAGCTCCAAATGAACACAGCCACAAAAATTTACGCACGCTTTCAAAACCTAAGGTATGTGTCTATTCATGTAATAATAGAATATGACTGGCTGTAGAGAAAATAAATATTTATTTTAGGCCAATGAGAAATAATTGCTGAAACACACACAAAGACATATTTATTTTTTTTCTTCGGTTCTAATATCCAGCGCTGTAGAATCCAGTGAATTTGATTCCTTATCGTACAGTTGATAATTCGCGCCTGAAGAGGCTGCAGGGCTTTCACCCTCTGCGGCCTTTACTGTAAGCACACATACCAAATTGCTCTCGGCTCTCGGTTTAAATAACTTCCCGGGGTATCGCGGCGCATCCTCCAACAAGTACTAATCAGTGGTGTTCCCTTAATTTCTCTTTCCTCGGCTTGCAGAACTCATCTTTATATTGAATATACTGCACGGCTACGCTGCGCTACCGTTCATCTACATATGTTCCTTCTGTTTCGACAACCCTGGCTTCGGATTCTCTGCTCTTGCCATCTCTACGTTTATAATATGTGAGTAGGCAATTCGCTTTGCACTACCGCAATGTACGGGGCAAAGCTGACCTAAGTTTATTTTGTATTTCACAAATCAGGTACTGTTAAGTTTCAACTAATCCATGAACACTCTTTCGATTTGAAGTGTACCATGGGTTCACGAGAACTTTTAGGCTGCTTCTGATTATTCTCTTCATGCTAGAAAAACTTGCATATGATTGAAGATGCGAGGTTGACTATAATTTTAGAAGAACATAGTGTGCCCAATGCCCACACACTAATTACGTCAAACCAGTTTTATTTCACTTGGGCTTCTCTATATATAGACAAGAATTTATGAATCCACCAAACAGAGGCTATATTTTGCCAGGAAATCCGGTTAAGCTAGCCGACTGAAAAGAAAGTGTTTGGTTCAATTTTATCTCATGATTACCAATGGCCGCCATTTTGGAGACGTTCTTATCAGCTGTTAGGCCTTGTTATTCTAAAATACACACTAACAATACGACCAGTGGAAGACGATGGTGAATGGGCGTTGGTATTGAGATGTGGTCTAAGCCACAGACACGACTGCGACGTGACCGAGGTGATTTATTTGTCTGCGTGGTTTCAGAAAACAGAATTCTCCGCTTCTGAAAAGTATTTCTTTGGTCGCCTGCGAAAACGTGAACTGATCTTTTGGTGCCAAAAGGCTTCGTATTTCCGAGGAGTGCTCGCTAACATTTCCGGCACAAAACAGACGCAGTGATTTAATGCAGCTGGCGTGCGTCTCCGTCGGTCTCACCAGCCTGAGTTAAAGTGATGTGCTGTTTAGGTATCAGTGGTATATGTGTCGTCGCCGTAACAGTGAATACTGCCGATCTCGCCGCACCACCAAACAAAAGTGCCTCTATGACAGGGTTAAGCCGGCACATAATTGTTCGCGTATGATCGGACGTCAGCAAATGTGCATACAGTGCGTGATCGCGGAAAACGTGTGGATTCCAGACTTACTTTTTAAGCTTTTTTATATTTCTGTTGTCTCTTGTTGTTGTTTGGCACACTGAATTTGTAAATAACCACAGCTGTTTAATCATGGTGTTCGCTGACAGGGTAAATTTCGTCACACTCGTAATTACACACATATTGTGTGCAAACAAATTGTTCACGTCGAACCGGTTAATCAAGAATGCTCATATCTGTCTATTGTTTATGTCCAGCGTCACTTTGCTGCACGGGTGCCGTGTTCATGGAGCACTACGCGGAAACGCTGAACAACGTCCCACTCGTGGTCTTCATCGAGACGATACTCCAAATGGCGCGGCTTCTGCCTTCCTACTCGTACTCGCGTGGCATGACCAAAGTGCTGCAGTTGGCCACCGAAAACGCGGTGTGCCAACGCGGTGGAGAAGGACCTCGAGACTGCCTGCCAAGAAAAGTCTGTCGCCTTCAAGATGTCACTGCTGCAGTGCTGCAAGCGTGAGAGATTTTTCACGTCACGCGTAAATGAAATATAGGTCTTGCCTTTTGTTTGCGCATTTTGGAACGTACACTGTGCAAAAAAGTTTTTGTAAAGAAAACAAAAAGATTCAAGAACCCTTTACTAGCGGAAAATTTAACAAGCTAAGCTTGTCAAGTGCGTGCCTCAAATAAAGCTTTTTTGCAGCGAAATCTGTATATATGGCTGAGAGAAATGAAAAGTCACAAGCGTCCTCGATTAGCTGTCTTATCAGTTACGCCGTTCGCAATCACGTGCGCCATTGGCTGGGTTTCGAGTGACGTCGTTGCAGCCGTGGTGCCGAGCCCACATACAACATTTCTCCTGAAACATCTTGTCGAGTTGGCTCGCGATGTCAGATGCTTGCAACAACGTAATGTTTCGGTGTCAATGTGATGATAGCAGGAGCACGTTCACTGCCGCAAGCACCGCTTTCGGCGGGAGTTTCTCTAGCGGCACATTGGCTTCGGCTGCGACGTCTGTGACCGCCTGTAGTTCAAGAACGTACACTGTTGTTAACGCATAGCGTAACGCATTTACCAGCTTATTATATTCTACCATGACCGTAATCGTGCGAGACAGAGTATGCCGCATGTGAGATAGACACTGTGATGAACCCGAGCGAAACGCGTGTCGAATCTCATTAAGCAGCAAAAATATATAACCTATAATTGTGAGACTCTTAAATGTCACGTCGGGTTGAACCCATTGCTAAACACAGGGGCCACACGTTTCAGATTTCGCTTGTAAACCGTTTGTATGTGGTGCGCGTGCTGTGATTTTTTATTGCTTCCTGGCTTTTTAGAAGTGAAGCTCCTTAAGGCGTAGGTCGGTCGTCCCTTGTATGTACATGCATGTATGTAGTAACCATCTCACAGCATACCCACGGAGTGAATGATGATGAGTGGGGCGAAGCTTCGGAGGTTTTTATCGGGAAACCATGAATCCTCTGCTGGCCGCGTCCGTCCGTCATCTGCCTATGTATGTATGTATGTATGTATGTATGTATGTATGTATGTATGTATGCTTTACGCACGGATGGACGCATGGACGAACGCAGGTACGGTCCACGTATGGACTGATGAACGTACAGACGGTCGCACAGATGGACGCATGGGTGGAAGGATGGACAGTCGCACAGAAGAATGCATGGAAGGACGCATGGACGGACGCACGGAGTACAAACGAATGGATGGACACTCAAAGGGACGCATGGATGGAGGGACGTATGGATGGATGGGTCGACGCACAGATGAACACACAGATGCAAGCACGGACGCGCCGACGAACCGACAGATGCCTGGACGGATGGATGGACGCACAGATGGATGGACAGACGCACAGATGGACGTAAGCGAGAACAAACAGATGCACGGAAGCGCGGACGGACTGATGGACGCTTCACCCCACTTATCAATATTCTCTTCGTGGATATACTGTGATTTTTTTTCGTCACATTAAACACGACGGCAACTGCACCTAATTGTGACACAAGACTGACGTTCTGGTGCTGGCCCCGAATGTGAGTCTTTTGCCACGATTGGTTGATATGCGTTCAAATCAGTTATGCATTTGAACAATCCGCATATAAAAACGCTAATAATTGATAAGAGAGCATGAGGTAATTAAAAGTAGTACATGCAAATTCACGTATACGACCGGCGCACCTCTGAGGGGCAGTTATGTAGGGCTGCTGGCACGAGCTGCTTCCAGTACGACGATGCCACCATTTAAATCTTGAATGAAGAGATGTTAGCGGATGGATTTATGCTCTCTCATAGTTTAGTACTGAGTACTCTAAATTGTTAACCACTACTTCTAAACACGCTTTGGATAGGTACAAGTTCATTACACCAGGGACGGCTTTATGGTCTCTCATGGTGAAGTATCAAGTGCTCTTTTGATACATATTTTTTATAAACACGCTTTGCTTTTGTCCATGAGCCACTGTCAGAAAATCAAGCTAAGGCCGCGCCTCTATTTCTTTCGATGAGGTGCTGGCTAAGGATACCTAAACAAATCTTTTAACATGCTTAATTTCTTCTCTTTTGCTATGCGTGCAGACATCGCTGGCCCTGACCCTTATCGTTACGCAATCAGCCCTCTGGACGTGCACTCGTACTCTGCTTTTTACGAAGTGCTCACCCTGTTTCTGGAAGGGCCGCTGCTTTTCGGTCTGCTAGTGTACGCCGACTACTACTTGCTGCGCCAACTAGACCGACACTTGACTGCTCCCGAGGCCGAAAACAATCTGCGCCTCCTAGTCCCGCCTGCAGAGCAAGGGGTCATCGGAGGATTATCGCTCTCCAAGGTACATATGGATGGCGTTCTGTCGGGTGCGTTACGCTGGAAGTTCTCGAAACCGTTCATTAGTGGCATGAGTACCGAGCAAAGCTTCTGGTTCGAGTACCGAGCAAAGCTTCTACCGGTCTACACTCTACTTCTGGCATGAGTACCGAGCAAAGCTTCTGGTACCAAGCACTTCTGGTTGGGCGTGGGCTTGTGGTTTTGAGAATAATCAGAAGTCTCGTAGAACACAAAACTGGAACGAAGGTTATGATGCTGGCTGAAGTGAGGAGTAACTATGATACACGTTGTATCACAGTATAAGTTTGCCTAATATGTTGGCCAAGTCCCATTCACCCTTAAATAATGTCAATGTATTTAAGGACTTCATTACTGAAGCGGACGGTTTTTTGTTATGAGCAGCTGGGATTTTCGAAACACCGGACAAGGCAGATCTGAATCGCGAGATTTTTGCGACGCGAGTTCCGAGATCCACTTCCGCACCACGATCAAACGCAAAGTCGACCACGAAAACACAGCAAGGCCCTTGAACGCCACGGGAAGTTTAACTGCCGGTCAGCAGAGCCCATTATTAGAAACGCCTGCATTTTTTAGCGATGAAGCTCCTTAGACTTGGGCTTGTCTTCTGTTGTGGTCGTAGCATGCAATCGCTGCTATAGTCGAAACATATGTGAAACTACAGAAAAAAGCTTTCACAATGGATGGCAAGGTAAAAAATCGCCGTTACCAGTGAAAATAACCTATCGAGAAGAGTTGATTTCTTGTAAATTGTGCCTAAATGTCGAGGCTTCTCAAACAAACCTGCCACACAAAAGCACACGTCGAGAACTATACATCCCTGATTAATTTCTCATAATTTTCATCATTCCGTACATAAGTTTCGATATTTAAATAGTATAGAGTACTGAGTAGTCTAAATCGTTAACCACGTGTTCTAAACACACATGTTTTGCGGACCTCTGCCAGCAGCAGTGGGACGGCCTTTGCTCTCCCATAGAAGGGTACCAAACACTCTGAATAATGAAACACTTTCGCCATACACACATCTCGGCACCAATAAGATGGCGTGTTCTCGTATTCGCTTTCATGCACTGTACACTCTAGCAATTAACCGAATCCTCCTTGAATGACCTAATACAACAAGAAGGCGAAATAAATTTACATAGATATACTAATTCACTGATTTATCTTGACTTACATTACATGAATAGATGCTCGGGTAACGTATGGTTGCTCACACATACGATGCACAGAGCTTCACTGGCTGGCCATTATTCATTTCGTGGAGATGACGCTGTCTCTGTTTTTGGGAGTGGAAACTTGCCAACGCTGGTAACAAACTCGGACTAAGCAGAGATGAAGCACACTGGTCATAATTATCGCATGGGGGCCACATGCCAAATCATGGTCACATTGCCGCCGGTCTACCGATGCCAACTAGGTGGTTGGTTCATGACACAAAAATTCCGCTACGCCACTTTTAACAACTTCCGTTGTCAACAGCAGATGTCCATTTTCAGTCTTCTAGTTCTGTAGTTCTTCCACTTCGTGTGCGTGCTTCGCGTCTATCACTTCGTGTATGCCCTTTTGGTCTATGCTTCACCTCCGGTTGCAATCGTACTAAGGTAAGCATCGTCGTGCCTGCCCTTTTGGTCTATACTTGACTTTCGGTTACAACTGTGCTAAGGTTAGCATCTGAGAGAACCTCGATAAAAGATTGTCGACATCACGGGCCCGATGCACTGGAACAAGAAAGTATGTGGAAGTGGTCCAAGAAGACACTTCTTATCATGCGGATTGCAGCGTTGTCAGAAAAGAGCTGATGGTTTGGAGGTTGGCTGCAAGCGAGTGCTGACTGGGTGCGTTGAATCTGCAGAATTTTTTGTCCACAGGGATATAGAATGTATGTCACGCTGCAGGGAATCATGTTCATGCAAGAACCCATCTTGGCAGCGCTGTGATAGCCCACTTCTATCGTAGGCAGTATGTATTATGACGCAGTAATATTAAAAAACCTGGGGAGCTTACTAAAATATTACTACAATCTGACCTGGAAGCACGCATATGGCGGTAATACAGGCCATTTTGTGTTATGTTCTGCAGAGACAAAGATTCAAATTGCAAGACTTTCCGATTGATTTATATACCCTTGACGCAAGTTGTACTCTTATAAATATAGATCTCTGCTATTCCGAACTGAGCTTGTGAGCACACATGCAGCGTGGAATGTGAAACTTCGACACATCTCACTTGTGCAGAAACTGCCCGCATGTAAAGGAGCCGAGATGCTTCCTTGTAGTACCAAATTAGCATTTCATCGCTTACGTGATTTCAGGTTCTATATAAGCTACACTGATGGGTCTAGAAACATTATTCCGGGAACCAGTAATGAATACATCAATAACACGAGCAAAATTTTGAACTGGCAAATCAGTCGTTCTTTTCGGTTTAATTAAGCCTTTTCGCATCTCACACAACGTAAGAATGTCCATTTGCTGATATTCATAAGCTCTCCTGTGGCCATTGTATGAGCACGGAAGGGTGCACACATATGAAATTAAGAATAAACGACATTAGTGATGACAACAGCTGTGAAAAACAAAGCAGCTATAGCAACAATAGACATAAGATGGTTGATTACGCTTTAAATCAATCGTTAAACTAAGAACAATCTCACAGTGAACAAACCATTCTTGTAAGAAACAATTATTTTGCAGAAACAAAGGTAATAGCAACCAAACGGAAGCGTCATCGCACGAATCAGTAGCTACTAACCATGGCAACCCAATGACAGATTTATTTAAAATTTTGCTTTTTGAGATCCATTTGCACACAATACATCTTTATTTTAGGCAGCTAAATGTTTTTCACTTGAACTCGAATGCAGGTGAAGGTTGTTTTTTTCTTCAGATAATTTGGCTTTTTTCTTTCTTTCTTTACGATTTCAATCGTACTTGCAGCCGGCCGTCAAGCACCACGAGGACACAGATGTTGTGGATGAAGACAAACTTGTAGCGAATCTTGTCCAGAATCCGGTGACACCTTCGCCTATTCCACAGGCGTTGACAAACCAGCCTTCCAAATCACAGACCCAGTTGCAGGCGAAGCAGCAACCAAAGATGCCGTCCCAGGTTCCAGACAGCATGCAGCCGGCCATGGTGGTGTACCGCCTCCACAAGGCTTACGGTTACCTGGAAGGCCACATTGTGCTACAGGTGAACATCGTTTTATAATTGAAACTTGGTGCCACGAACTTCAGCCTGCACTGATCGCTCAGCTGTTAACACAAGTAATGTATCGGATGCAACAACGTTCGGTTTCAACGCTCACACAAAAGCTATTGTAAATGCTAAGTATCGCCCAAAAATTGCGTGTGAAAGACTGTAGAACATACAAATATAAGCAGAATTTGTCACGTTTCGGTTAAGGAGCTTTCGTAATTGTCTTACGACTTGAACCAACTCAGAGCTCAACTTATGAGTCAACGAGTTTAGCTTTGGGGCTTATCTTGCTGCATCGTCATTGAGACTTGCAACGTTGCAATTAGAACTGCAGGTTGAATAAAGTTTTTACAAGTGTTTATTAAGCAAGAAGTTCATGAACAATATTTTGCCATTGCACGTGACAACCACATGGAGTTGCACTCATAGCCCAAATAAAGTAATAATGAGGTTAGCTGCACTTAAACTATTTGTTAAATGACGAGTTGGGCCTTATTATTCTGCTTGCCAGTGATGCCGAACTGCACTCTGATCAGCAGACGTGACGTGTTTAGAAAAAGTTGTTAACTATTTAACGAGTACTCTACTAAGGGTTAGGGTCTGTTCGACCTGTCAGGTCTGAATCAACCTGTTGCAACCAAAAATAAAGCGTTGCAGTACGGTAATCAAACCGAACGATTGCCTCCGGCCTCCATTAAAGCCCCGCTAACTGCGGTTCGACTAGTGGGATTCGCGTATTACGTACTTCAGTGGATAGGGAAGTTATGCTACTTTTTTACATCATCTTGTCGCTGAGAGAATATTTTATTTGGATACACAATACCTTGAGTGCTTACTCGTCTCATCCTTAGCAACCTCGTGGTTTATGGGTGAGGTAAATTCGTAGAAAAGACTGTAAACCGATTTACACCCATATAGGTGTTTTATAGTGTCTTTAACTGACACCCCTACACCCCACGAAATAGTTGTATTAAACAGGACTACACCTATACCGTGGGCGGATTTCCGAATTTACACCCTATGGCACAAACATTTTTTGGGGTGTAAAAGCAAATGTACACCCAAATGGCCTTAAGGGAGTGTGGGTGCAAAAGCGAATGTACACCCAAGTAATCTTAAGAGCGTAAGGGTGTAATATTGCTATGACACCCTAACACTCTTGAAAAACAAAAGTAGTTGAGGGTGTAATTCACCCAAAAGCAAAAAGGGTGTGGGGGTGTTCATGCTGAATAATGCCCCAACACCCCTGCGAAAAATACCATAATACGAGTGTTACCCCTTTCCAGTAGGCCCTTGTAGAAGCACGTGAAAGCTTACCCTTTAGCTAGACCTTTCATGTGCAGATGTCCTACTGTAGTGGCTCCTGCCGCCGTGTGGTAATCCTGGCCCTAGCACAGTTTTTATGGTGCATATATGAAGCACTGTATATAAGGCTCTCACATATAACATGTAATCTTAGCTGAATGCGAAGGCATCACTCAAAATGAGCTGTCACACATAACAGAACGTTCACAAAGTCATGCCATTGTGCAAAAAGAAATCTAGCTTTATTTTATTAGACACAGAGCACATACAGGCTTCAGAGATAAATTGTACTTTAATCAAAAGCGCTTTTCAGCTGTGCAGAGCGGAATACCATTTGCTACAAAAGAAGACCGAAAATCAGACGTCAATGGTGCGGCATGGAGCTCTAACGACCGATGCATGCATATCAAAGTACAACAGAAGAGCCTTTATTTGCACTTAAATATGAAAAACTAATTTGAACACGCTTCAATGCAGCACAAAAGCACAATGCAGTGAAGCACACAAACAGCAGGAAGAGTAGTGCAATGCAGCATGCCTTATTTCTCCAATATACTGAAATAATATATCAATGCACTTGAACTGGTATAGTGCATTACGGGGAAGAAGAAACGGCCGAGCAGATCGACACAAGAGGACATAGCGCTCTGTCCTCTTGTGTCGGTCTGCTCGGCTGTTTCTTCTTTCCCTGTAATGCGCTAAACCAGTTCAAGTACGACGAACCAACTCGCCCAATCTTCAACACTCGTGATATCAATGCACACTACAATTGCCTCATTGATACGCCACAGTCTGCATGAGTTGTGGCATGCGTTATGCATATTATGCAAGGCTAGTGGTATTCTAATGAATGTAATGACAAAGCAGTCTTAAATTGGCATTTCCATTTCACAATAATCCTTGTGTGTTCAGACATTCAGAATACTGGAAAAACAATAATACAGGAGTGAAAACAATAGGCAAAATTACAATAGCTTAACAGTGTCACTAGATACTAACCATGCAGAATAATTGATTTAAAGATGTAAAATTTCAAGCGCATCACATAATATGTCCCCCTGAAACAATGCAACATCAAGGAACATAAAATGGACACACAAAAGCGGGGTGAAAGATTAACCACTTACAGCTAGCAGAGGTAGAGCAGCCGAGCTATCATCTGAAGCAATATTTTGGAGCATCATATCTTGCTTTTCCAGGGAGAAAATTTAAATTTGGAGCAGGTTTCAGGAAAAACAAACGCAGCATTTTTGAGCCTGAAATTCCAAATTAACAGCATTGATTGATATGTGCGGTTTAGCGTCCCAAAATTACCATATGGTTATGAGAAACGTCGTAGTGGAGGGCTCCGGAAATTTTGACCACCTGCGGTTCTTTACCGTGCACCCAAGTCTGAGCACACAGACCTACAGCGTTTCTGCTTCCATCGGAAGTGCAGCCACCGCAGCCGTGATTCGATCCCGCGACCTGGGGGTCAGCAGCCGAGTACCATAGCCCCTAGACCAGCGCGGTGGGGCTCCTAATTTACAGTAGTACAACAAATTAGACTGAATCACACAAAAATAAAATTATATGTAGAAATTATTTGATATCCGCTAATACATTCAAAATATACGAGAGCGCAGTTATTTCAATAAAAGCACTCTTGAACTGTCCCACAGTGCAAACAATGCTAACCTCCCTATTTACGAACACTCCTCGACTCGAATCTCGTCCTTCACTTGAACTATCCGAGCACAGCACCACCGCTTGTCTAAAAATGACGCTACGTTTCTCGAGAATCGCTGCAGATTATCCCTGATATTGGGTGACTTGCTCTGCCTAGAGACTGCGCTGGAATTAATTTTCTCAAGTCAAGGTGAAGCATTTAGTGAAGGGACGTTCTAAAATACGGCGGTAAAACTCACAGTAGTATTTGCCGAGCTTGTCAAACTATTTGACAGGCGACCCAGAAATTCCTGATATTCGTAAAGGAGGTGGCGCTCAAGGAGGTGGCGAAAAGAAAAAAAAAGTGGCATACGATTTTCTTTATCGTTGCTTAAACTGCAAAAACCTCATAAATCACTCTGAAAGACGGCCAACACTCATACTAGTACTCGTTAGTGAATGGCATCTGCATGGCAGAGTAATATAAGGAAAAATATTTTGTGTCCTGTGACAGCGAGTATTAGTAGCCACTTCCAAATCATAAAGCACTTTTCCGCAGAGCGAAAGCACACTCTGGCAAAAGCGACTTCAAAAGCGTTATGGACGTCATGGAAAGGGGGGGGGGGAGAACTTTCTTTCAAACCGTTCTACTCTTCTTTTGCTGTGAGGTTAGAATATAGTCAAATAAAAGTTATAATTACGGTTGGCGCATCTGTATTAGATTGGATGATGATGACCCCACCTCGATGGTTTAGTCACCAAGGTACTCAGCTGCACTTTTTATGCAGGCGAAAATGCTGTAGGCCCATTTGCTTAGATTTGGGTGCACAAGAACTCCAGGCGGCCGAAATTTCTGGAGCCCTCACCTAAAGCGTCTCGTAATCAAATGGTGGCTTTAGGACATTAAACTGCACACATTAATAAATTAGATGGTGATGCACAAGCTTACGCTGAATAATGGATTTTACGTTTCTTGATAAAATTAACAATACTGAGAAATAATTGAGGCTGGTTGGGCATTTCATAATGGTTTTGTGCAAAATTAGGAAATTGTATTCAATTGACACAACTGGCGCGGCTGCTGTTCTCTTGAACATGCAAATATGAATACGAAAATAGCATGTAATATTGTGCTACAGATATTAAACATGTGCTGTAAATAGACATGAATGCCTGAATTCAATAGCCAATTTTGCGACGAAAGAACGACCGCACAAAGAAAACACATGGACAGGACGGGTGCTCACTAGCAGCTGTTTGTACCATATATTCCTAATATAGCATATATTCTTACACACAACCTTAACAAGGTGGCGAGTCGGCATGAAGTACTGATGGAGTTCGTGCCCCAAACAAACTAGCATAGTTATGCCTGTGGATCGCTGGAAATCATGCTGAGCAGCTGAAAGGCTGTAAAACGAAGAATGCGTGGTTATTCACGAAATCTGCCACTGAAGTGGTTTACAAAATACCGCTATCGTGCAGAAAGAGACATGTTAGCCAGACGACGAGGCGCTGCGTCAATGATCGAGCGAGGGAACATGCCCTTATGGCAAAGAATAACCACGGTGCCCGTTCAAGAGCGCATGTCACTTCATGTGGATTCACACCCAGAGCAATTTCGAAGGGCTTTCACAAAAGAAACGGGGTATCAATTGCGTTAGCAAAACTTCACTCATCGTGTATGAGCTGGAAGCACGGTATCTAGCGTTCATGTGTCCTATAGCCTCATTAGGTAAGGGACGGCCCGAGTAGGTTGCACATGCGTTGGCGAAAAGTGGGTTTATATCAGCCTGTTTTCTCAAGAAATAAACAATTGCAAATGAGTGCCCATCCTGTTTATGTGTTTTCTTGGTTTGTGTGGTCCTCATTTTGGCGCGAAATTGACTAATATTTAATGCAAACATGCACCAACTATCCCAACAGCCAGTTATACTACATATGAATGCCGCTGCTGCACATGTAAACAACAATAGCACGTGCAGCTGCCTTAGAACTGTGAAAAAAAGCAGCGTTATACAGTGCCTCAGAGGAGGCACTTT